GCTAGTCGTCGTTCCACTATATTAACTATCTTTTATAACACACATTTTATAAGTTTTTTTTTTCTGAAATGGTTCCCAATAAACCTTTGTGTACCGCAGGTCCAAGAATGATCCCTACATATGTGTTACTGTAGGAACATGCTACTGGCAAATGTGCACAGCCGAGAAAATCACCAACCGCAGCCAATCCGTATATATTTGTGCGCCGAATGTATTTGCATGGTCTAGCACTAGTAGTAGTAGGGTTTTTTTTTTCATCAGTTACTGTGCTAGCTACTGCGGATCTAAAGCAAAGATACGCGGAGATATGGCCATGCCGGGACGGACAAGATCTTGCATTCAAGGTGGGTCGGAACCACTGCGGATGGATGAACTCTACGTTACCCCGTCGCCCGTGCACGCCTGTTACTGTCACGCGCCTGCGCCTGCGTGCATATGCACGCGCGACCCTCTAGTGACAAGTGAGTAATGGGTCGGAAGGGACGGCACGCCGTCGGCCAGTCGCGCACAGCGCCATATCTCTTGAGGGTCGTAAAGGTGATCAGTCTCCCTCCACAGATTTTCCTCCGTGCAAAGGCCCCCTTTTGTTCGACCACTTTTGTGCGACCCCTTTTGTGCGATCGGTTTCGCTCGTTTCTACTTCGTACTCGGCTTGAACAGGAGATGGAACTACTCGCCGTCAGTCCGCGGAGAAGCTAGTACTACTTCTGTTTCTCTTGTCATCGACTGGCTTGCACAATTGCACCACCGACCCAGTGTCGGGCAGTGAATGAGCAATTGAGCGTGTGTGGCTACAATTTACTGCCACCGGTTCGACTAAAAATTCACTCCGCACAGCATATGTCCCCGCGTCACTCCAGCCTCAGGGGCGACGCGGGGCCTGGCCGCCGCCGTCCTCCACCTCCTCCCCTTCGCCTCGCTGCCACCCGACCAGCCCATGGCAAACGGCTGCCTACAAGGACGGTGGCGACGGGGCTTCTTCCACCGGTGGCATCGTGGTTAGAGTACCTATGTGTCGAGGTGAAGATGTTTCAGATTTGGATCAAGCGAGGAGAAGTTGGGAGGCGCTGCGCCAACCATGATAGGAGGTTGCGAGGCAATAGGAGCGGCTGGACGACAGGCGGCGAAGGAGACCGTGGCTAGCCATAGCTGCCAAGATCGGATCCTTCCAAATTTGCACGGTGGGTGCCTGGCGGTTGCGGGGATGGCGTCTAGATCCGGCGTGCTCCTGACCAAAGCTGCGGTGGGGTGGTCGGCGTCAAGGCGGCGTGACGACTGGCGATGGCATGCGGCCAGGGAGGATACAGTGACCGCCTACATTTGGCGTCCCCTAGTGAGGTGGCTCTCGACAAACGGGCGATGGCGGCGGTGCCGTGGTCTATGCAGAAGGGGAGAGAGGCCATGTGATGGCAACTTTCTTCCTCTGCAGCAATAGGCTACAGCACAGCTGGCGCGGTGCTGGCGCTTTGGCTAGAGTTTCAGTGGCGGCAGGAGACAATAGGACAAGGTGGCGGCGATGCGGATGGGCAGCCTATGGCGACATGGTAGTCTGGCCAAGGCAGCGATGACGGGGTCCTGATCCAAACGCCTGTCCTATTTTGATGGCACCTTACCTCCACAAGATGACTACGTTGGCATGCTAGTGTGGGGGAGAGGGGATGCATTCTTCTCTCTCACCCTCTCCCTCTTCAACTTAACCATATGCATGGATTAATTTGGAGTGCATTGGATGTCGAGCTCCTACTTAATGGCCGTCCGGCGACGAGACACCGGTGCGGTGATTGTGCATCAAAGGGGTGTGGTTGGTGGTGGTCTCTATGTCCAGCAGGAGACCTCGACACAAGAGTGCAGGAAGATTATGAGTGAAAGCCTAGCATCTTTGTCTCTTTGGGCCAGCAATGGCGACGCATGTCTGCGCCATTTTTCTCCTTGGGGGTGTTGTTGAGTGATTTCTCTTATCCCCTGATGGATTCCTCTAGGTGAAAACCATGTCCTGCACCCTATGATAGACGGCGGTGGCACACTCGAATGAAGGCGTCGTTTAGATGATTCTTTTTCTTCAGGATGTCATGTTTCTATTTTTTTAGCGAGTTTCTGGTTAAGACACGTGGTGTGGTTATCTTTTCTTTTCCTGCTTATAGCATTTTAGAGCTGTAGTCTTATTTTTTTTTCTGTTCAATCGATATACACAACGTCGCACTCTTATGTGCTATGAAAAAAAAGTCGCTCCGTTTCTCGTTTCCGAACCTCTCAAAGCCTTGAGCTCGACGAAAACATCGCACGCTTGCGCAGCACGAGGCGGAATGGTGCAATTGCTAGCTTATTCACGGTGAAATATTGCTGCCGAGCCGGCCCCCGACCGACCACGCGACGGATGGCGACAGCGAGGGGGCGGCGCAACACCACAACCACAAACTGGACGGCGCCGTGCGTGCGTGCGTGTCGCGTCGCGTCGGCGGGTGAAAGTTCGATCGACCGGACGCGCACCGAACTATCGATCGCAACGAGAGATAATAGGGGATTCGCTTGGTATTACTGCTGCTACTAGCCCACTATGCGTTCCATTATCGATCTCCTTTTGCATTAGAGGACGAGAGCGAACGAAGCCGAGGGGTGTTTTTGCCTTTCCGGCGTTGGTTTTTCCGGGGGCTCGAAACGATTGTAACCACAAGCTCAAGGTAAGGCTGGGATCACGCTGTGTGACTCGGACCATGGGTGGGCACTAGCCGAAATAGCCTACCTGACCTGTCGATCGTACTCGTGATTGCCTCTGGCTGCACACCCTCGTTCGCAAAGTCGGTCCCTTTCTTGGGCTGTTGCTACTAGTACAGTAGTACGGTCACGGTAGCAACAAGTGCTCTGATGTGAATGTGAATATGTGATGCGACCCTTTCGGAAAGCCGGATTAGAAAAGGAACAAATTCGTGCCAGTTACTTCCGGATTACGTTCGGCAACCACGAAGGATTAATCAAGGAGGAGAGACGGTTAAGACGGCAATGCTTTTCCGTCACCTCTATTTTCCCAAAGTGCGATCCAACTCCAAGTCTTGCGCGGCTGTCACGTTCGTTCTGACGGCACTATCACTCACGAACGAACCCAAAAAAAGGTGAAAAACGACGAGCCCCGATCGGTCGCCGTCGCATGAACTCAGAGACGTCGTTTTCCACCCGCGTCACACCGCAGCGATAAATAATTTGGCCCGTTGCGTCTGTTGTTTGCTCCGCGGTTGCATGTTAGGTGAGTGAATCCGAGACGGGAACTGCTCAGCTCAACCACGAAACGAAACCTGTTTCATCATTCGATAAAGCACCTCGTCTTGCCGGATCAGCTGGGGTGGCAGGAAAACCGAAACGTGTTCGTTGATTTTTCCCATCGGCTTTGGCTTTGTCCATCCGCTGCTAGAGAGGGGAAACCGTTGCTGCAGTGTGCTCGACGCCACTATCATCTGAACTTTGCCTGTACAAGAAATCAAGATTGAAGAATGCATAGGGGGGCATCACTGTCAGGTATAATTGCTACGCAGCCATGGACGTGTACTAGTATGTAGTGAAGCTTTCGCGGCGTGTTTACGTGTTGGGGAAAGGTGTCGTGGCTGCGGGTGCGAATGTTCACTGACAGCGAGACGGCTGTTCCCGGATCAGCTGTTCCAGTCGTGCAGGTAGGCAGGCAGGCAGGCAGGTGTGGCTGGTGAGAGCTCGCTCGCTGCGACCTAACGCTGATGCCAAGCGCGAGCTCAAATAGTCGGGAGATTCAGATCCCCGCCGACACGGTGGTGGCAGCGACGGCGGCCGGAAATATTCGTAGTATATTTCTTGACACTCCCAGGTCCCAACTGCGCGGTCTATAAAGCTCGTGGTTCAGGTATCTGAATCTTTCGGACTGCTTCAGTGTTCTGAAGATTTGCAGGTTAAAAGCAAAACTGCCCGGGCGATGGCCGACAAGTCAAAAATCGTGAACACGATTGCGCGGCTTCAGAGTTTAAGATATTTGGGGCTGGTTTGGTTTGAGAACTAAATTAGGTTTATCAATATTTGGCAATTTCAATAGTGTTTAGTGTCTATTTAGTTTGAAGCCAAATTTTGGCATACCTAATAAAATAGGCCATTTCAATAGTGAACTTAGGCTATTTTGGTTTCAATCCAAACACAACTTTGCCTTATCAAAATTAGTCATGCCAAAACTTGTCAAAATTTGGTAAGGCCTATTTAGGCCACAAACCAAACCAAACCTTGGTTCCATCTGCCCGTATCTTTGTAGGGGTCATGGCTGGTTAAAGATCATTACTTGCAAGTTAAATCACTAGCGAGAATTTGGATATTCGATACGAGGAACGGGTGGGAAACATCTGGAATAATAATGGAGTTTATTCAGCAAAGGCGTATATGATCTCAACTGCTTGCGCATTGTGAAGTTTGTGGTTCAGATATCTATTAATAGAGAAGGGATAAGGGCAGTGGATGACCGACAAGTCTGAACTTTGGACACAACTTAAAGCATGTACTACTAGCTTCAGCGTTCAGATTCTCCAAGCTAAAGCTATGACCGACAAGTCTAAATTTTTGGACACAGGTGCGTTGTGCCGATTCGCGTGTACTTCCTTCAGAGTTCAGACTATATGGTTCCACGCGCAGTAGTTCAGAATGAATTTTGGAGGGTTTTGTCCTCCTTTCTTCTGTTTTAGGTGTGTTTAGTTCCTGAAAAAAGATAGAAAGTTTGAAGAAAGTTGGGAATTTGAAAAAAAAAAGTTAGAAGTTTATATATAGGAAAGTTTTTGATGTGATATGATGTAATGGAAAATTGGGAATAGGGGAAACTAAACACGGCCTTGGTGCATGTTTCTCTAATGCAAGTTCAATAGATATAGGCCAAGTTTAGTTCCAAAAATTTTCTTCAAACTTCCAACTTTTCTATCACATCAAAATTTTCCTACACACATAAACTTTTAACTTTTCCGTTACATCGTTCCAATTTCAACCAAACTTTCAATTTTAGCGTGAACTAAACACACCCATACGCGGGCAACATCCCTTCTTACATTGCATTAAGAATCATTCAGAGAAAGGCAGGCGAGCACGCGAGATGGTTTGGAATTTACAGAAGAGGATTCAGGGAGTAGGATACACATGGCCACAGATGCAAGGATATATGTACATATGATACATCTCTGTCCGGCTATAACGGTATGACTTTTGCTCGCTACAGAAGCTGCTCTTGCTTACAAGAGTAGTTCCTGCGCAGCATTGTTGCTGCTGCCTGCTGCGTCCTTTGCAGCTTCAGTGTGATGAGCCATGAGCTAACAAACCTAACTGGGTACTTCACTAGCTCACAGTTCCTATAGCTGTAAGAATGATCTTGAACTACATACATGACTTAACAGATGACAATCATAACTACAGTGGCATGTACAACGTATATACACATGGAACCAGGGAGTTGAGGTTTTCACAAGGAGCCCACCAGGAGTTTACGTGAGAGCTTCATTCCAATTTTTCCAGTTAAAGAAACCTGCAAAACACCATGCAAATCAATGCTTAAATTATTGGCTTGTGAACTATGCTCAAACGAGTACTCAGTAAGTGGGCTGGGATTGCATTAACATGTTATGTGAACTGCATCCATAAATAGCGAAACGTGCAATATGCTCAATGGTAAGACTAGAAGTTAATGTAAACTCAAGAGTGACAAGTATATGCAAGATTTAAATATGAACAATAGCAGATTGAAACAGGCACCTAGTATTATTCCTACCAAAATAATATCCTCATCAGTTCCAAAGGACTTGCGGGCCTGATCTAAGCTCTTCATTGACACCCTTTCACGCTGTCTGAAAGAATCAACAAACAACTGTAACTAAGTTAAATCTTGTCAATAGGGACATGCTGTCATGCACATAAAGTTAAGCGGAAAACTTTTTTCTTCTAGCGAAGGAAATTAAGCAGAAAACCGTACAGCGATAGGTTTCTCAGTCAAATATGGCGCCATTACTTGATAATCATACATAGCTATAAATGGACCCTGACATGTAGCATATAAATATGTTCAAAGCAGAAGGTGAATGTTCTCGGTTACTGGTCGTTACAAGAAACTAAATGATCCTTGCTTCTAGTGAGTGTTATGCCCATATCAGCATGACGCTATTAAAGAAGCACAGTTTATCCATCTGAAAACTCAAGTGTCCGCTATTAAAAGATGTCATTAACAAAAGGTGAATATTAGGTACCTCGAACTGGCAGGGTCCCTTATCTCAAATTCGCAAGCATCAGCATCATACCCACATATTACAACATAATGCCCTGCAATGGAAGACAGTATTAACCATCAGAATGAATCCTTTTTTATGGGCACTTTTGCAGACAGCAAATGGATTCATGGAAAACCAATCCATCAACGAGCTTGGCCACTCACCCATGTAATCTGAATCCTCACTGAACTGTTGCATATCTTGTAGATCATTGCTCCATGAGGAACTGCATTCCAAAAATCAAGTTACTGACACACTATTATTGCCCATTTCAAATGATATGCAGCCACTTCAAAAATGAAATCAAGGAACAATGGTTATTGTTTGTAGAAAAATTATGCATATAAAAATCCATGGATACATCCATGAACCATTTTGTTCCGAACTGTAATCTTCTCCGAGATATTCTCTCAATTACCAAGTAACTTTGGGAACAGAAAGGGTAGTGCCAACTGTATATTACTCAACTGCTTCATCAACATTATCAGTTTGTTACTACATAATGTTGGCACGGTTGCAAAATATTAAACTAATAATCACCTTATGATCGTTAAATCAAAAGAATTTGAGATATTAAAATGAGACAAGTACAGCAAGTAACATTGTCCACCCATTGCATTTACCATTGGACAACTTGCTTATGAGGCGATGTCTGAATGCCGAAGACAAATGTAAGACTGTCTTAAAGGAGTAAAAGTATTGACAGAAATACAGAACAAAGTATACTTCATCTCACTTGCTATGACCAAAAAAATCCCTTACTTCAATTTTGTTTTGTCCACTAGTGCGATAGCAATGCAGTGCCCAGATAACAGTAGAAAAGCTATATCATACGCACTGATGGATCTGCACTGAGAATAACCACAAATTGAAAAATTAAAAAAAATTGAAAGTGAGAAGTACATCAAATAGACAATTTTTATGATGTGCGCTGTGATCTTACTTGAATACTAATTCCAGCTTCAAGGGCTCTGCCAAAGAGCTCATCCACTCGATCAATGTCTTCTTGCAATTGCTCCTATCGACATTGTTATTTTTGAAACTGTTACTACAGTGAACTTCAGAGGAATCGGTAACATTAAATTACAATTCATACCCTATAAAAGGTTTCAGCAGAATATTGCGGATTTGCTCCTAGAGTCACAGTGAAGAAGGAAAAACAAACTGAAAACCTGTTTAACAGATATGCCAAGTCAACTGTCCATATGCTGCACAACCCAGAAATGTCAGATTGTTAATACACCAGACGTGCTATTAAAATTTTTAATAGGCCAAAATTAAAGAGAATTAAATATTATGTCCAGCTCATCTAGGGAATGATTGTATTGCAATATAATATATCCACGAATATTTCTCACGTCTAAGCTACTTTATGTCCTCATAAATAATTGTCATATTACAATTGAAATGCACAATTTTTTATTCTCTTCCAAATTAATTTTCACCTAAGATGGAATTATTTGCAAAGAGCATTTTAACTACACCGGATAAAAGTGATTATGCAGTGCAAAATGTGGGAACAATCAAGTGGTCAAAGTAGTAACAAGCATTCATGAACTGACAGAGTAATCACTGTTCGTTATCCACGCAATCTCATAAAGAAAAGAAGAATAATTATCCATGAATAAACAAATGATTCGGGGTATCAATTTTTTTCATTAACTAAGGAGAATTGCGCCCCCCGTGTTTAGTTGTAAACTCAAATTTGAAGTAATAATCTAGTCCAAGAGAGGAACCTCGTGGTGCGGCAGAGCTTCTCGAGATCGGCAATGCCGTCGCAGCAATCCATCCCGAGTGTCCTGAGCACCATGAGCACGCAAGCGAGGCCGCAGTCCCACGTGAAGGCCTGCTGGACATGCGGAACCTAGCAAGCATCCATCACCAGCGCCACGAACCCAAAAAAATTCGTCAGATTTAACAGCAGCAGTAAACACGACGATTATTACACAGCCACACGACACCGCCGCGGAAACACAGGATCAGCAACCGACACCACCCCGAGAGACAATAATTGATCGCAACCATAGAGCGAGCGCGCGAGCGCGCGCGAGAGAGAGAGATAGGGAAGGAGGGAGGAACTGACATCGACGTAGTACGAGCGGCGGGCTAGAGGGACACGGCCGTCAGGGGCCGGCGGCGAGTCGTCCGCCCCCTCGCCGCCGTCCCCTTCCCCCGCGACCTTGAACAGCCTCTCGGAGAAGAACCCCAGGGGCCACATGGCACCATCAACCGACCCCCTCGCCCGCCGCGCGCGGCGCCAGGCGACTGACCTCGAACCGCAAGAGCCAGCCGAGCCAAGCAGTGCTCTGCTCGGTAGCGCGGGTGGGAAGGAGAAAGGAGGGAAAGCGGAGGAGGAGGTTGGGATTCTCGCGGGTTCGCGACGAGACGACGGTGGGAGGGAGGGAGGGAAATGATTGGGTTCTTCTTCTTCTCGCTCCGGTGCGTGGTGGGATTATTAAAAAAACGGGGGTCCGCGTCACCAGAAGAATCGGTGGAGGGATGTGGAGCGCCGGAGCGCGGCGCCTTTAAAAAAAAAAACGGGGGCCCTCGTCGCCTCGCCTTCCAGAAGCCGCCGTAATTTTTAGGTGTCGTTGGGCTGTATGGCCTTTGCCGGTGGGAGGAGGAGCAGCAGCGCAGCCAGCGTGTGTTTGCGTCGGGGAAAAGAGAGGATAGGGATTGGCAGAGGATTTTTGCTCTATCCATCGGCCACCGGGCGGGGTGGGGATTGATGTCGATCTAGTATAACCCGAGAGGCTCGCGGAGGGGCCGGGATTGGTCAGGGGGGTCAGGACCTGGTACCGATTTGGTTAGGGAACAGGAGGAGATTTGTCCTATAATTCTTGCCTTTTGTTGTGGTGTTCTCTTTTTTCTTTCGATGATAAGGATGACGCAGGACATAACTAATCGCTATCTACCGACACCGAGAGTCTGTTTTCACAAGTTTTAGGCCACATTTGAATCGCAGGATTAAAAAATAGAGAAATAAAAAAAACATATGATATAGAATGTACACTTAAGATCCCTTTGAAACACAGGATTGAGAAAACAGATAAATGAGAAAAACGTAGGAATAGAATGCCACACGGGCCCCTTTGAAACATAGGATTGAGAAAACACAGGAAAAAGAAAAACATAGGAATAGAGGGCCTGTTCACTTTGGTGTCATTTTCAATCATACTATTTTTTTGGGTAAAGTTGCTAAAAAATGTCTACGTTATTCTGTTGCCAAATTTAGTCAATACATAAGAAATCATACCAAAATTTTGATAATAGTACCATCTTACCAAAATTTTGGCATTGCCAAAACTTGATAAGGTTTATTTTAGCTATAGTATGAACATGCCCAGAATGTCATACTTATTAGAATCCTATAGGATTTTGAAATACAGGAAAGTCCCCAAACTGTCGTTTGATTAGCAAAAAAAACACATAAATTTTGAGACACATGAAGAGGAAAACATGAGGTGAGAGACCTCATGCTTATTTTCCTCCAAAATTGCTCAAGCAAGGTCCATTCCATAGGAATTTCAAATGAATTGGTAGGAAACAATCTTTTGTTTCAAAGGGCTCTAGAGGATTATTTTTCATAGGATAAAATCCTCTAGAATTCCTATGATGTTTCCTTTATTTCAAAGGGGGCCGAACTATGGGATTTTGAAACACAGGAAAGTTTCCAAACTATCGTTTGATTAGCACACAGGAAAAATACATGAATCCTGTTTGGGGAGCTTAATATTCTGATAAACAGCTGGTTGGTAGCCAGCTTCTGAGAATCTGGAAAAGCTGGGTTTACCAGTTTCTGGCTTCTGAGAATCTGGAAAAGCTGGGTTTACCAGTAAAATACATTCCATAGGAATTTCAAATGAACTCATAAGAAACAATCCTTTGTTTCAAAGGATTATAGGATTATTTCCCATAGGATAAAATCCTCTAGAATTCCTATGATTTTTCCTTTGATTCAAATGGGGCCTAGTAGCTGCATCTTCATACATAATTTCCAATTCCTCGAAACAGTTCAAATTTAGGTTAGCACTCTAAGGGCCACTTTGAATCACAGGGTTGAAAAAATAAAGGAATAAGAAAACACAGGATTCCGACAGGAATTGAAGTGTAAAATAGAGGATTGCGATACACAGGAAAAATACAGGAATGATCGTTTGATTGGACCGCAGGAAAAAACGTAGGAATCGGATGAGAGAGATAGACTCAAAGGAAATTTTTTAAAAGGTTGGAGGTCTTTCTAAGTTTCCTCCAAAATCCGCATGCAATGTGTCATTCCATAGGAATCATAGGATTTGAAAAACTTCAATCCTTTGAATCAAATGGCCAAATAGAAAATTTTCCTATAGGATTTTAATCCTATGAAATTCCTCATAAATCCTTTGATTCAAAGGGGCCCAGGTTGAATATGTAGTTGTATAAGCAATAAAATTTTGCTATCTATTTATCAACAAATTTTCTAAAAAAATCGACAGATGTAAATATAGTATAATTACTTCGTAATTTGCATGTAACTAAAATATAACTTAACTTGTATGTAACCTTAAAAAAATTTGTGATAACATGTTTTTTTCGTGAAGCGGAGGTTACAACACCAAATCCTCTCACTTCTGTGTGCGTTGTGTTGTTTTCTTCCTCGCTTACATGAATCTTAAAGCAAATTTAATGGTTTCATAATTACATGAAAGTTACGTACCAGTTACAATGTAATTACACTACTATTGTATTATATTTACATTTACAATTTTTTAGGAGAAAATTTGTGGATAAATTTGTAGATAGTCCCGAAGCAATAAGTTAGGAAAGTCATATCTCAAAAACTAAATACCAACCAATAGATTTTTAGAATCTTAATCCCCCAAAACCTCTTCAGATGTGCATAATCTCCCCCAACCTCTTCAGATGTGGATCGTGTGTTTGTCGAATTGGATAGGGCATTAGGACGAGTATCCTTTTCTTTAGGTATTGTACAAGGTGGCGTTACTATGCACCGGCATTTATTTAAACCTTATCTGGTTTGTTGGTTTTTATCAAAATTTAGTATTTTTTCTAAAAAGAAAAGTATTGGTATGGTTGAGACATGCTTGGTCTCAAGCCTTACTGAATCTTGGTGGTGTTAGAATGGAACACGTATTATTTTGGTTGCTCATGACACGTATAACCGTTTATAAGTCAGATTAAAAAAATAGGGAAAAAATAGCCACCATCTATGTATATGGCGTGTAGATTTGTGTAATAACTAGAAAAAAATGTTCGCGTGTTGTAACAGGTAAAAATGTTTTTCCAGTGATGCAATAGCTATTAGGAGCTGAGCAGTAAATTAAAACATTCGAATAGCTATACGTTATAATTTGAAAAGATTAATGAAAAATATTCCTTGGTTTTCAGTTGAAAGCCTTTTTTTTTCTTCATTTTCAACATCAGCCCAGACCGCTATCTCCCCGTGCTCGGCCTATCTCTTCAGCCCAGCCCACAAGTTGAGCCACATGCCCAACTTGTATAGTAGACTATCGTCTTCAACCTCCGGAAGATAGTCTCGTTACTGCATGCCGAAGCGACCCTCCCAATCAAATTTGGCAGAATCTTTCTCGATCTCCTAAAATTGATTGAAGGCTTTTGATCCACTTGATCTCCTCTTTATGTTTTTCCTAAAATCCGAGCGAATATGCAAAACTCGGATAAAAACAGCCGAGGAAGCTCACCGGCTGGCCATCATCAGCGACTGAGATTAAATCCAGCGAATTAAAACTGAAATGAAAGGTAAATCATGACGAAAATGATGAGGGAAGAGTGATAATTGATTTTTGCTATTAATTGGAGGAGAAAACACATGGGTAAACATATCGATGTGGCAGCGGTACTAGGGTTTGGGCCAGTGGTAGTGGGAGGCAAAAAAAATGAAGATTGAACATCTAGTGCTACCTTGCGCATTTTTAATTAGGTATAGATACATCTAATGTTACCTTGACATGTCAAGGCGACGGGTCCAATAGGATAAAGTCTTGTGTTAATTTATTCTCGTGAACAAGTAGTATCATATATGATGCATCGATGGACCATCTTATATATATAAATACCACAACGCGACCTTGCTCTTCTATGTGTATCCCACTTCACTGCTACGTTACATATAGTTTCTAATAATAGAATCACATAAGAGCGTGTATGATAAGGTGATATAAATGGGTTATAATGGTTGCCACCTTAAGTGTTGAGTTAGAGGAGAGAGGGGACGAGCGAAGAGAAGTTGTATCCACATCTATAACCACATGCACATGGTTGTTTTTAACAAACTTTATGAGAATGAGATGAGTTAGGTATTAACATAGTAACATGTTGGGAGAGCCAACGTCAGGATCATGTCCCCATTGCCTACACAATATGTATTCCTTCTATTCAACTCCCCCTCCCGGAAAGAAAAACCCCTCCTGCACGCTAACCTCCCACATAAGGCATGCACCCTTCTTGAACTGTGATCCCTCTTTTGCGCCGCACCATCTATATTGAATCATCCTGGCACACCATGTCTTTTACTAAGCTGCAATCTGACTATCTAGGTTAAGTGAAATAAGAAAGAGGATATGGAGTAATATATATCTAATGAAGGTATCGGGTTGATATCTTCGGATACCGCAACTCCTTCATGTATTATGATTTGATGATACTTTCTGACATTATTTTTTTTAGGAACACAGTATATGTGCTCAGAACACACGTATACTCATCCTTACGAGCGTAGACATGCACACCATATCCCTTTGAATATCTTCCGAATACCGGATCGACATATCACGATTATCTTTTAAGTATCATGAAGGTATTATAAATGTATCATGTATCATCGTATTTTAAGGTGTCACGTAGGTTTCAGATAATAATACCACTTGATTTTATTATTATTCTTACTCTAACAGCGATGCATAGACACGCATCCTCTTTTGCATTCTGCCGTTGTCGTTTGGTGGTGCATGTTGGTCAAAACGTCCGACTCGAGACGTACGTAGAAGCTGTGATGGATAAGGCCGGAGTTCTTATTTTTGTCGTGATGCCACATTTCAGCGTTCGGTGTGACCCACTTTAGGTGCGTCCACCACACCATGTGACAGGCTAAAGTGGCCCAAACATGGCCCAGTCCAAAGAGCTCGATCTGGGTGGAAGAGTTGAAAGCGACCCGGCAGATATTTTGCTCTTGATATTTTCACAGCAGATACTTTGCTTTTTGGGTAGGAGCAGATACATTTTTCTTGTGTTCAAAGAAAAAAAAAGGAAAATTAGCATGTTCTTGATGTTAGCAATGGACTTGAAGTGGGCACCAGGCAGTTAGGTATTCTGGCCCAAACATGTTGGGCCGTACTAGATTCTGTACTTAGTGGAATAAGTTCATTTAGGGTCCCTTAACTTGTCAACGAATCCGATTTTCGTTCTTCAACTGAAAAAACACAGATATAACGAATCCCTCAACTATCAAAACCAGTGCAAAGTATGTCCCTCAACGGTTTTGATGGTAGTTTTGGCTGATGTGGTGCCTACATGGCCGGTTTAACTTGGTCCTCGTCCTACGTGGCGGTGATGAGGCACTGCAAGCAAAATATAAAAATAAAAAATAAAAACAAAAATGTGGGACCCACATGTTAATCAGACAAAAGGAAAAAAACAATGGGACCCACCATCCTCTCTATCCACAGACGACGGGAGTATAGATGGCCAAAAGGCCCGACCGGCATGGCCTGGCCCAGGCACGGCCCACCAGCCATCGGGCTGGCACGGCCCGATCGGCACTTCGTGCCGGGCCGTGTCGACCCATGGGCTGCACCTCCCGCCCAGGCACGGCCCACTAGCTGTCGGGCCGTGCTGTGCGGGCCCGAAGGCACGGGTGCCCCCATCGGGTCTTTTTTAAAATAAGTCTATTTTTTTGTCCCTCCTCTTTGGGCTGTTACATATGTATATCAAAATAAGTCTATTTTCCGCCTCTCCTCTTTGGGCTGACATATGTATAGCTAAAATAAGTCTATTTTCCGTCCCTCCTCTTTGGGCTGACATATGTATAGATAAAATAAGTATATTTTACATCCCTATTCTTTCGTCCATGGCATATAATATGTGTATTTTTACTCCCCTATTTTTTTTTGTGTGTATCAGGCCTGACTGCCGGCCCATCGTGCCATGCCGGTCCGGTCGTGCTGGCCCAGCCCAACGTGCCGGTGGAGGGCCCAGGCATAACCTGGTGGTTGGGCCGGGCCGGCACGGGCCCGACCTCCGTCGGGCCGTACCATGCTTGGGCCGGGCCAAAATATCGTGCCATGGTCCGGACCGTCGGGCCTTGGGCCTTTTGGCCATCTATACGGGAGAGGAGCGATCGACGCGTTCTTCTCTCTCTCCCTCCCGGCGATCCTTCCTCGCCGGCGAGCGCACACGGAGAGAGAAAAAGGTTGCGGCCGGCGAGGAGGGCAGAGACGGTCGCTGTCCACCGCCCGCTGCGCGCCTCTTCCTCCGCCCCCAACTTGCGATTCTCGAAGCAGCAGAACATGATCTGCAAGGAACAAAACAAGAAAGAAAAAGGAAATAAATCAAAGGATGCACACGCACGCCAATTAGTTAGCAAGAATGATCAACCAAGCAACCAAAACTAATCAAACAATTAGTTGGAGTAGATGGCGGAGCCGAGCCGGCAAATGAAAGGCAGGATTAATTGAAAAAGGAATTTTGTTTGGGTTAGCTAGTACTACACACCTGGTGAGGAACTCGGTGATGGGGTGGGAGGAGATGATGTTCGAGCGGTCGCCGTTGGCGGTGCGCTCGATCTCCGGGCGGAGGTCCTCGTAGGTGACGATGGGGACGCGCGCCTTGAACACCTCCCGGTCGGTGCGTCCTTCCATGCCGTGGCGGCGGAGGTACTCGGTGCCGTTGTTCCGCGCCAGGATCGCCGCCAGCACCCGCTCCTGGACCGCGTAGAACCCCCTCGTCATCTCCTCGATGAACTCCAGCTTCTCCGCGTCACGCTCCCACGCCGCCACAACATCCCCCCCCCCTCCTGCCACCTTCGACCCCGCCTCCGCCGCAGCCACCGCAGCCGGAGCCATGAAGCACTCAGACGGCGCACGGATCCAATCCGAACACCAACGGAGGGCGGCGACCAACGGATCCGCCGCCTTTTTCCCTCTCCGTGCGCTCTCGCCGGCGAGGAAGGATGGCCGGGAGGGAGAGAGAAGGACGCGCCGGTCGCTCCTCTCCCGTCGTCCGTGGATAGGGAGGATGGTGGGTCCCACTATTTTTTCCTTTTGTCTAACTGACATGTGGGCCCCACATTTTGTTTTTATTTTTTATTTTTATATTTTTCTTCCAGTGCCACATCACCACCACGTAGGACGAGGACCAAGTCAAACCGGTCACGTAGGCGCCACATCAGCCAAAACCACCATCAAAACCGTTAAGGGACCTGCTTTTGCTGATGCGAAAAACACGAGGCGTGAGAGATCTGCTTAACTCCAGTGCTGGTCCAAAAATCTTGCCTTTAGGTTCGTGAGCGTGCCAGTTGATTTGATCCTGCCATCAACAAGAAATAAAAACAGAAAAGTAGTAGTTAAATCCACAAACGATAGTCGATCGGTTAGCTGCCGATGACGTTTCATTTATCTTTGAGCCGATGTCATATATGAATCGATCGGCAATCATAAATAAGCATAAAAGAATTAAATCTATTCGATCGGCTGTAGATATCAATGGTATATAATACTTCTGTCGATATATACTTAAATCAAGTGATTGGGATAGATCGGTCGCCATGCCGAGACAGTATAAATCACTTAGATCAAAATATATATTAACAAAAAGATTATAAACATTTATAGCATAGCCGATCAGATAAATCTAGCATGTATCGGCTAATACTCCGATACTACTCTATATTAAGATATTAAAGCAAGTAAAATATATATCAAACAGAAGCCTAATATACTTTGTTGTAGTAAGATCTTAACATAAAGGGCAGATCTAGCATATCAATTAAGCACGTAAGATTTAAAGCTAAATCAGGTAAGATCGGCTGAAACCCCAACACTACCCTAATCGGCAACCAAAAGCAGGCTAGAGATTGAGATTCTAAGCACGACTTAATAGATCAAACTCAACTGATGCAGCATTAAGTATGAAAAAAAGAACAATATCTTGACAATCAAGCTGTTGGATGTTTCATAGAGTGGTGGATACCCTATATAATCTAAGTCAACGTTGGTATTTAACCTGATCGGCTGCCTTCTAGCGATAAATGTTAGCCGACTAAGGGTTAAATAACAATATTGCCAGAGATTATATAGGATATATGATAACTCGACAAATTACATAAACAAGATTAGAGTATCATAAAAATGAAAGCACTAATCCCGAGAACGCAAGCCGCCATAACAAGTTTTACCTCTAGTTGAAGATCGAAATCGATGCAGCTCAACCCGAAAGAAAGAACTCGTCGAAACAAAACGAAAGTAAAGGGTGGCGATGCGCCAAGATTGTATTGAACGTGTGTTAAATTGATTATATGGGGCTCGGGGTCTATTTATACTCGAGATTACAAAATATGTCAATGTCGAACACGACTCTTATCTCTAACAAACTCTAAGATACCATAAGTCTTTGCGGCTGACTTTTACTCAAACCTATCTCTAAGGAAATTACATAAAATATCCTAATTAATAGATACAATTGTCTTTTCAGGACTCAATCTGTGCATGGCAATCTATATGAAGCACTTTAACCTAACCCGATGTCGTGTAACGAGTCATATTGTCGGAATCGGCTTAATCGGCTAACCTTGTCCGACTCGCACTCTGCCGATCCTGATCGCGGCCGATTCGGACTTTAGCCGATTCTTGCTCTGTTTCCGAAACGATCTCCATCTTGGATTCCGCTTCAGTTTTACCTTAACCTCCGATAGTTGAATTACCAAATTTGGTTATTAAGAGCTTTGCACCGGTTTTAGTAGTTGAGGGACCCGTTATATCTGGTTTTCCAGTTGAAGGACGAAAATCGGATTCGTTGATAAGTTAAGGGACCTCAATTGAACTTATTCCGTACTTAGCAGCCAGATCGATGGGAGAGCAGTGTGCAGTGCATGGGCCTGGCCTTTCAGAGATGTTGAAAGCCCTCGACACATGCTTTACACTCCATGGATCAGGTGATCAGGTCCTGTAGTTGTCTGAAACGCTGCAGGCTGCGGCTGACACACCCTACCCGTGCAGGCACGTGGCTGAGAAAAAAAAAAGGTTATCGCAAAGCTTTTGACAATGCCGACTTGTCCAGTGCTTGTTGCGTGGTGCGTAGCGACTGGAGTAGCGATGGCACTCGGTGCTACGAGTAAACGAAAAGATGGCACTCGTCCATCTGTTACAGCACTACAGTAACGTACGTGGTTTGAGTGTAAGCAACCTCAGCCTATTGAATAAGCACACTGAGAAGGTGCGCTTATCTCGTTCTGCTCTAAAGCAAGCAAGCAATGTCCATCGAGCCAACATCACATGACCAGAAAGGAAACCGAGAGAAATCCGGGAGACCCGCCAGGGCAAGAGAACGTTCTCCCGCACGCGAACCCGAAACAGCTAAACCTTTTCCCACGCCTCACGCGGAAACCTCGTGGATATCGACGTCGTCGTCGTGGCGACTCTACCGCGACCGGCTGCGACTCCCGCGGTGCAAATCCTAAGTCCAAACCAACGCGCCCATCCACAGACCAAACCCCACCCACCGATCCGCCGCGCCGCACCGTGCCGCGGCGTCACGCACAGCGTGCGAAGATTCGCCTCGCGCTGCTGTGCACGCTGCTCCCCCACGGCGCGCAGGCGCAGCGGCTTGGGCGCGACACGCCTCCCTGATGAGTCGTGAGTCGTGACGCCACCCCGCGTCTCGTGCCCCGCGCCCCGCCCTTTCCCTTTTTATACCACGCTGATCGTCTACTCCAATGTCTCCATCTCGCCACATTCGCCGCGCGCGTCACACGAGCAAGGGAGCAAGCGAGGAGAGAGGAGAGGCTTAGCGAGAGAGGTGAGGAGAGGAGAGGATTTGGAACTTTTGATCTTTGGGATCGCGAGACGACGGAGATGGCCGGTGGCGGCAGGGCCGATGACGAGCGAAGGATCGGGGTGGCGATGGACTACTCGGCGAGCAGCAAGAGGGCGCTGGACTGGGCCATCGCCAACCTGCTCCGCCGGGGCGACCACCTCGTCGTCCTCCACGTCCTGCATCACGGCGGGGAGGAGGCCAAGCACGCCCTGTGGGGCAAGTCCGGATCCCGTAAGATCCGCGAACCAAATCTCCTCCCCCTTTCTGCTTCTTGCTTTTGCTCGATCGATCTCGGCTCAAACTAATGTAGTGGATTCCATTCCTCCAGCGCTGATCCCTCTCTCCGAGTTCCGGGATCCGACGGCGATGCAGCAGTACGGCGTGCACTGCGACGCCGAGGTGCTCGACATGCTCGACACGGCGGCGCGCCAGTTGGAGGTACGTGCGCTCTCGTGTAGTACTAGTAGCGTCACGGTTTTGGGGCTGGATCGGAGACGAAAATGACCGCTGTTTTGTTGCTGTTCTGATCAGCTTACCGTAGTGGCGAAGCTGTACTGGGGCGACGCCAGGGAGAAGCTCTGCGACGCCGTCGAGGAGCAGAAGATCGACACGCTCGTCATGGGCAGCCGCGGCCTCGGCTCGATCCAGAGGTATAACTCCTACTTCTGTTTGCAATGTTGTTGCCTCATCAATCAAGAATCAAAATTGCAGGCATTGACCATAGAACTTGCCTTTGGGCCAGTTGCTAATATTCCTGTTCAGATAGACAAGCTCTGTCGAGAACGATGCACTGCTTAAATCGATAATTAAACTACATACTGTGTCCAGTTCCGTGGTACGGTAGTTTTTAATCTCAACACATAATTGCATTGCACTGGAAATTTGGGGGCCAAATGCGTATCTGACTTGGCCTTGCAACTTGAATCATTACAGCCAATGAGATTGGATTATCGAGCATTTCAGTTGCACTTGTTTTTTCTGTGGGACCGCCAAGGCATCAACTTGTTGCCTTCACGATTAATAAATTGTAAGAGCAAGTACAATAGCTGGCTATAAACCAGCTGTAAATATATTTTAAGAAGATAAATGAGGAGAGAGAAGGGTAGTGGGCTACAGATTTGTAGCCAACTATAGCACGAACTCCAAGACGCAGTGTGTGTATGACAGGCGGGACCAAATATTAATAGTGTAGTATGTAATTATTGTATAAATGAGCTATTAGATTGGCTATAGATGAATTGGAGCTAGTAGTTGGCTATACTATTAAACTTGCTCTAAAGTCGCATGTTCATCCTTGAGACATGTATATCCTGATTCTTGGTCGGCGCGTTGTTTTATGTTCTCATGTGAAACTCCTTTTCATATTCAAATGTTTCCCATGTACAGTTTGAGCATAAGAATGATGTATATATATAGAGTTAGTTCAACAACTAGAATGCTTGTGCTATTTCAATATCCAAATACAGAAGTTTATATACAGGAACGTGATTATCTTGGTTTTAGCCTCTTAGGTTAGTGTCCACGTCCAAAGACTATAACTATTTAGTCTATAACATATTGAGTGGATGATATGCATTGTTAGCTTGAAACTTACTATTGTCATCTTGATTCAGAACAGAAAATTGTGAAGTTTGAAGATGCGATGTCTAATGAACGTTTGGGAGTATACGCTTTGCGCATATGGCAGTATTTGTTTAGGGCTGGTTTGGTTCGATGCCTAAATTAGTCTTACCAATATTTGGCAATTTCAATAGTGTTTAGTGTCTATTTGGTTTGAAGCCAAATTTTGTTATGCCTAAGAAAATAGGTCATTTCAATAATGAACTTATTAGACTATTTTGGCTTCAATCTAAACACAACTTTGTCTTACCAAAATTAGTCATACCAAAAATTACCAAATTTTGGTACTGATAGAATTTGGTAAGGCCTATTTAGACCACAAACCAAACCAACTCTTTAGTGATTCTCTAGCTTCTGAATTGAATCCAGCACACCATATAATAGTCTCATCGACTTTTTAGCTCGTTATGATTTCATCTGCAACTTTCCTGTCTGCCAACATTTTACAGGATTCTTCTGGGGAGTGTGACAAACTACGTGCTGTCAAACGCATCATGCCCTGTAACAGTCGTCAAGGGGAAGTGATCGATGATTCGACTTGAGTGGATATACTGTTACTGTTGCTACTGTATCTGAATAAAGCGTGTATGGAACTTCTTTTGTGTTTGTAATGTTGCAGCCTTCCCAGGTTCTTCTAGACAGTTCACTTTGCAAACAGTCCATGCTTGTGTGCTCAACCATGTGAATCACTTTATATATATAGACCGAATTTGAGGTTTTACTTTCATATGCCTAGTTTTGTTGGACCTAACTCTGTGAAGTCCAAATTCTGTACAAGTAAAAGAAAAATAAACATACAAGGGATGTTTAAATTGTAGCCAAGATAAACTTTACCAAATTTTGGCAATGCCTAATTTTTGGCAATTTAGCAATATTGCTAAAATTTTGATAGGATTTCTTATGTGTTTGTTAAAGTTTGACTAAAAAATTAAATGGATGCACATATTTGATAACTCTAAAAAAAAAGGAATATTTAAAATGACATCAATCTGAGCAAAGCCCACATACCACAACGGCTGCAAGTTTGCAACAAAGAACCAACTACTTACCAGAACAAAAACAGAAAAGATCAACAAGTGCACAGAGAGAGTGCTGAAACAAAATTGAGAGGTTTTTTTTATGGGAAAATTTACTGAACTTGCCGTAGTATTGGAGTATTGGTCCGTTCCATTTAGCGGCACACCGTACAAAACCATCCAGCTATTTAGCAAAAAAAAAAAGGAAGGATAATTCATTGCTTATGGCAAATCAATCCGTTGGGCCTGGAAAAGAAGAATTGGGGAAATGAATAAGTCCACTATACATCCCTCATCTTTTAGCCGAGTTTAACTCATATCCCTGAACGTAATAACGGAAATCTCTAACCCCTCAACTTACAAACCTGGGTTAAATTAGATCTCATGATAGTATCAATAGTTAGTTTTGTCAGCGTGCCACCCTAGTCAGCAAAACTAAAATAAAAAGAAAGCGTGTGGGTCCCACCTTTTTTACTCCTTGCTAGCTAGGATGTCACGTCAGTAAAATCAACCATTTATACTGTTATGACCTAATTTAAACTAGTCGTGCATGTGTGTGTGTGTTGGGGGGAGGTGTTCAAAATTTCTGATAATGATAGAAAGACATGAGACAACAAAACCGTTCACTTAAGGTTCTTAGGTGGTTTTCACCCCGGTTTTGTCTGACGTGGTGGCTAAGTCAGCGTGGGACCCATGTGTCAGGGTGTCCACGTCACCCCTCTATCTCTCTTTCCCCTCTTCTCTCCTTCCTCTCTCATTTTTTCCCCTGGGTGGCGGCGTCTTCGATGCGGCGGGGAGGAGGGCCGGCGTGGCCGGCGGTGGGGGAGGAGCGCAGCGAAGAGGAGGGCCGATGTGACGGGCAGCGCCGCCGATGGCTGTCGTCGCGCGGTGGCCGCGGCGGTCGTCCCTTTCAACCGTCGGCCTTAACGTAGCCCAGCAATCCAAGCCAAATCAAAAATCGGTGCTCGTCGTGATACTCGACCTCGCGCTCCCGTTCGTGCTCCTCTCCGCGTACCTCCGCGCCAGGGACGCGTCGTTCGTGGAGGCCGTCGTCGCGCAGGTGTGGGTTTTCGACTTCCGGTCGTCGCTCGTCGACCTCCTCGCCGTCTCCGTCGCGCGCTTCTGATACTCTGCGTAGGAGGAAGAGAGAGGAAAGTGGGCGGATGATGACGTGGCCACCCTAGCATGTGGGGCCCACGTGGGTCCCACGCTAATTCAGCCGCCTCAGAGGATAAAATCGGAGTCGAAACCACTGAGAAACATTATTTGCACTGGTTTTATAAGTTAGGGGATGCGTTGTATCCGGTTTTGCGGTTCAAGATCGATTTTGTAACTCGATGATAAGTTGAGGGTCCTTCGGTGTACTTTTTCCAAAAAAAAATATCACTAGACATACCAGCCCAAAAGGCCTACTAGATATAACGCCTCCTACGGTCCTACCAATTAACCCAACCCATCCCGAGCATGGCTCCACCTCACTGGCCCATCGACCAACTTTGGCCCATCGAGCATGGTTCCCCAATTTTTTTTTCGAAAACTTCACATCGAATCTTTGGACATATGCATTGAGCATTAAATATATAGATTATAAAAACTAATTATATAGTTAGGTGGGAAATCACGAGACAAACCTTTTGAGTCTAATTAGTCCATGATTAGCCATATGTGCTACAGTAATTCACATATGCTAATGACGGATTAATTATGCTCAAGAGATTCATCTCGTGCTTTCCAGGCGAGTTATGAAATTAGTTTTTTTTCGTGTCCGAAAACCCCTTCCGATATTCGGTTAAACATCTGATGTGACACCCAAAAAATTTCTTTTCGTGAACTAAACAGGCCCTTTCACGAGCATCGGCACTACCTCCTCCACCGCTCCCAGCTAGTCGTAGCTAGGAAAAAGTACACGGAAATCTTTCACCGAATTACAAAACTGTTATTTGAACCATAAAATTGGATATAATGCATCCGTCAACTTATAAAATCAGTGAAAAAAAATCCCTCAGGAGAATAATCCCCGGTTTTCATTGGTCTATGTGGCTCTTTTAACTAGGTGTTCGTCCCATGTTGACATTAATGTGGCACTAACGTGATAATTCGATAAAAAAAATAAAAAACAAAACGCCTAGTACTCCCTCCGTCCCAGAATATAGCAACCTAGGATGGGATAAGGTCAGGACAACGAATCTGGACATAGTCTCACCCCATCCTAAGTTGCTACTAAATCCGTCCTAAAATAGAACAACTTTTAGCTATATAGTTGTTCAAATTCATAGCTAAAAATGCTTATATTTTGGAATGGAGGGAGTATTAGAAATGAGGGAGCCTATATGGGACCTACATGTCATCCTCATTCTCATCTTTTCTCCTATCTACTTTTCCCGTCGGAGCCAGTCACGCCCGACCGGGTGTCGGGCGGGGCCCCGTTACCAACCCGCCACCTTCCACCTCCCCTCCCTTCAGCCGTACACTCCCGCCTCCCAAATTTCCTCGAAAATTTTTCCCGCGCGGCCGCACCAAAAATTCCCCTTCCACTCCGCCCCGCACCGCCCCCTAGCACGGCGGCGCCCCCCGTCCACCGCCAGCCGCGCGTGCCCGCCGCCCGCTTCTCGTGCTTCTCCCCGCCGTGGCAGATCCGGCCCTGCGCTTTAGCGCCATTCCGTCGAACACCTCGAGCGCGTCGGAGGCTGGAGGAGGATGTACGGGCGGCGCGCGTCGCAGCTGCTGAAGGAGGTCGACTCCTGCGAGGCCGGACAGCTCGTGCCGTTCAACGTAAGTTTCTACCCCCCCCCCCCCCTAAGCGCTCGCGTTTCTTAGCTCTGGGGATCTGAGTGGCCGGTGATTAGGTTTCGTTTGTGGCTATTTTTAGGGCGGAATTATGGTTGGTCTAGCTGCATAGTTGAAATTGAGTTCATAAATGTGCATTTTCAATCCTACGGGGGGAATGTTATCTGCATGGTGTATAACTATCAGGCGACAGTTTAAATTTAAACGATTTGGCTTTTCGGTCTGGTTTGCAAAATTGTATGTAATTTGTGAGCTTTCATTTGTCTATCTTGATGATGAAATCTAGTTCTGAAATATACTGAGCTTGCAAATTGCAATCACATGAAAGCACATAAAGTCTGGGGCTGGTGGTCTGGTGGGGGTTAATGTAAGTTAAGATTACCGTTCCTGTGATGTGACTGTGGCAGCATAGTTTAATTAGTTCGGTTAGTTATTATGCTTGGTCCCTAACTTCTTTTTCTTATGGATGTGCAGAGCGATGTGTTTGATCAGGTTATTAGAGAGTGCAATGAACACAATACACAGTTTCAGTCATTGATAAGGTAAATTGCTTCCTATCAGAAAATTGATCATCTTCATCTAGTTCTGCAATAAGAGTTATGATCAATTAATCAATTTCTAGGATGTATTTCACAGGAAAAACAGCACAGAACTATATCAAACTAATAAAACTCTTACTTGACTTCTTCACCATTACAGTTTACTTAATTTTGATTGCCTGATTTGCATTGTGTTTATGACAGGAAAATGGTGGAGCAGAACTTAGACATTGAAACAACCAGAAATGACGACCACTATGGGGCAGCCGTCCATCATCTTTCGCTGCTTCGTAACAAAAGATGTCTCATGGCTTACATGTACAAGACTGAAATCTCACAGCTGAACAAACTTTTTACTTTCTATGTTTTATGCTGATTTTACATGCACGCACTAATTTTGAGTATGGAACTGAAAGCACTGAGTTCAATCAGGTATAACCGAGCAGAGGTTATTCAGAGCTTTAGATGGAAAATCGGCCCAGTGCTTCCTCATGAAATACAAGAAAAGCTCCATTTTTCTGAGAAAGAGTACTTCAAGAACCACTCAGCAGCCATTAAATCATATATGTCAGAGATGGATATAGATTTAACAGTGGTACAGCATTTTTCTGTTTTATTTACTTTCTTTTGGATGAAATACAGTTAGCAGATTTTCTGTACCACTTCTATAGGACATGGTGCCTCCCAAGGATCCCTACATCCAGGTTCGGGTGCTTGAGGACATTGGTGAAGTATCTCTTGGTGACCATTCCATATCATTGACAAAGAACTCACTTCATTTCCTAAGGCGCACTGATACTGAACAATTTATATCACAGGTTTGCTATCTTACTTTTGTGATATTCTCAGTGTGTTTATTCCATCTGCTAATAATGTTCTATCAAACTTACAATAGGGTCTTATGGAAGAGTTTCTGGAGTAGAGATCACATATGGTGTACAATAGGTATTACTCACTACCTTACAATATATGTACACGTTTCATGATGACAGTTGACAGATGACCAGAGCTAGCATGTCCTATATCAGAAAAGGCTTTGATGGTCAATTGGTTACTGATGAATATTTTTCATTTTACACATATAAATAGTTAAATATCACATTTTTTTAAGAAAGAAAATTCAACTATCACCACAACATGCATATATTGAATTTACCAGTTCTAATAGACACCTATTCTGAAACACTGTTTGTGTTTTTGATCTGATTTCTCAAACCATACATCTCTGGCCTGCAGATTGTAACTGAGGATATGACTCTACTACAGCATTTATTCGTCATTGCTATCCAATGGATTAAACACTACTGAAATTCTGACAGAGCCTATGTGAAAATCAAAGAACATATGCTGTCTCAGCTGTGAAGGTATGATGCAACATATATGAGGGGATTGTGTACCGGGGTGCTCCTAACTTATCCATTTCAGTGATGTCTAGCTTTAGATGAATGAATTTAAGTTTGTTCTACACTGTGACCATTCTTTGCATGTTGTATTATTTGGTGATAAAATCGAAACTTCGTACACTGTACAAAAATCTTCCTAAATTTACTGGAGTAGGAAGGTAACAAGCTCTGTTTTAGTGTTTACTGGTGATGAAGACCTGGAGAAGCCTCATGCGTTCTGATAAATGCAGTTTGATTGACTGCTGTGTTCGTTTTGCTAAAACTACAGTTCTGGATCTCGGATATGGAATTAGTCAGAAAACATAACCAAGCTGATTCCAAGCAAGAATGGTGAACACGGTTCCTGCTTTCATGCAAAGGCGTAGTACACCATACATCACCTAGTTAAGTTTGGTATCTTCTTTTACTCACTACAAGTTTCTTGAGATGCTCTTCTTCTTGCTAACTTAACTTGCACACTGGCATTACTTTCATCAGACTAACTGAGCTCTAAAAGTTGCAGTCTTTTACGTCTATAATATCTGCATGACACCTTGAAGGTTCACTTGTTTATAATGCAGCGCTAGCCGCTAGCTGTCTAGCTCCTGTTGAACATATTACATATTCATGTTAGTTGTGTCATTCTATGATTCGAAATCATTATATTCATGAGGGCATGGTTAATGCTAACTACCTCACAGGACCATAAATCATTCCAAATCTAACCGGTACCCAATTCTTCTTAAAAATGAAAATGCCCAAACGTGTTTCACTGCTATCTCTTTATCTAATCTTCGCATGGATGATGCTTTGTACAATTACTTTGTCGAGTGGTTTTATGGCGACTAATAAATTAATGCTGGTGACTTGAGAAGCTAATCCCTAGTTGTGTGGTCCATGAACATTATCACTACTTCATTTCAACCTTGAAAATCCACCAACCAAGTACCCTGTACCCAACGCCAAAATCCTACATATACGCTCAAACAAGCAATCAACTTTACTCCGTGTTCTTTTCTCTCTGTTGTTTTGGTATTCTTGGGCACAACTAACTTGTGGTCTTGTGGGCCATGATACTTATGTATCTGTTGTCCCAGTTGTAGACGAACCTAAGGTTGGTCACCGGCTACCAAATGACATGACATGATGTCTACATAGTTTTGACACTACTGCGGTAGTGCTAAACTAGCCAAACAATGACAAAGCCTAGGTGCTAAACCTATATATAATCTGCATCCGAGACTTCCAAGTGAAGAATGTCTTTTCCTACCCTTGTTAGGTCCACGGACTCCTGAATCATTAGAAAACCAGTACGTTAAAAAATATCACGCTCAGAAAAAAAAAAGAGCTTGGTTATCTTACTTCTAGAACTAATCAGTAATCATCAGCTCTTATTTCCAAAGATCACATTAATCATATTGCAGCTTGGCAACTACTACTACTTGAGTTCAAAACTTTATATTTTGGGGACAAGCCATTGCTTCGACGGATAGCAACCGATCCTGTGAAAAATTCCCCATAAAACCCAAATCAAGAAATTTTCAACTGCTATGATTTTATTTTTTAAATCACTATTGATGATGAATAGTGATTGTGGGATCATGTCGAATTCAACTGCTATAGTACCCTGTTTGACAACAGATCGAGACCTTGTGAGACAACCAATTATGGTGAGTAGCTACGCGTATTAATCCTGTTCTGGCCCTTCGGTGTACGAATTTGCTAAAAGATGTCCACGGTTTTTCTAATCGATCTCAGTTGATTTGTCATCCTATTGCTTATTGATGTCTTCCACCAAATGGATCTTTTGGCAAGTCTATCTCCTTGTGTTGTATCCATCTACTCTGCTCTATCGACAAATATTACTAAGCTTCTACTCGTGTGTCAGTTTGCACTTTACCCTTTTATCTTCTTTTGAAAAATCAAAGATATGTAAAAATTATAGTGCAAGTATATGTAATTTACAATGTTAAAATATTTAACTGGTTTTTATGAAAAATATGGCGTAAAAAATATAGTTAGTTTCTTTAAAACTACTGGCACATACATACAATGGCACGTACTTATGAAATATTTACTCCCAACTAACATCACATGAGATCCAATGTAAGAAATCATAGTGAACTTCACTATACTGTTCTGTAGAATATTCTCGCAGAATTTCTTCACGTATACCATTTCACTACAATAAATAACTCCGGACTTCCATTTAATTTTAACCCCAGAAGATCTACTGACATCTCAAATCCTCGTATTGCACATTTGCACGTACGTACCGTCCTCGAGCAAGCAAGCAGGGACTACCGCATTTGCACCGTGGTACTCACCCAGTCACCCACTTCACCCAGGCGGCAGTGCCCCATGTGCAACGCCACGGCCATGTGAACCGAAGTACCAGGTGACCGGGAGATATTTAACTATTTGCCGGTAGATTCAAATATTATAGACACATAAGAACTCATATGTCATATATTATGAGTGGCAAGTTCTTAATTGCCATATCTTAAAAGTGACAAAAAAAAGTTAAATGCCTAGGTGACAAGAGCCATCTTTTCACTAATTAGTTACCAGTCTCTTCGTTTAACTTACAATTTATTATAGACCTTAATATTTATGAACAATAAAAAGGTAATTTATAAGTAAAACTTTTGACTTTTGCATATAACTTAAAAATCAATGTTGAAAAATAAACCACAATTAAGAGTTTATTCACTGTATTACTAAAATCAACTTACCAATATTTACCAATATTAATTTTTGGTACATATTTTGATGTTACTGTATTTTAGTGGTGTTAAATATGTTTAGTTTTTAAACCTTTTTAAAATTTTGGTGATGTTTTTATAAGAGAATTTTCGGAACTTCCAAACAACATATTTAGTTTGTCATCCTATAAAAATTAATAACAACAAAATTTACTAGAGTTCAAAATGGCAGTAAAGCAAACAACCAGAAAAACATCAAAAGAGACAGTAAAGTAATATTAGAAATTCAAATTTTAGTTATCAGATTTTGGAAGGAGACAGTAAAGTAAAAGATAAAAAAAAAATCAAAATCAACTCTAAAGTTAATATTTAAATTTTAACTACGGCTGGTAATTCCTCGAAGGCGCCGTTAATGACCGATGCGCCAGCGCCGCGGAAACGGACGGCATTTCGCCGGACCACGGCGTGTCAGAGAGCTTCATGTCACTGCCACGGAGTACTTACTGTTGTTTGAAGTACATTCTGTTCAAAAATACAGGGTACAAAGGAGCAGTGGTGAGCACCGTTATTACTAGGAGTAGTGAGCACTCATGCGACAGCACTTGTTATTGTGCACTACAGTAGTACTCTTCTTGCTCGAAAAAAAAAAAAATCTCTTTCGAGTTGACAGGACAGGAAGTCCTATTCACTTAACTATACATTTGGATCTAGCTGCCGAGTTAGTAGGCAGGCTTGGACCATCTCCCGTTTACTGAACCAAAGCTACTCCTTGATTGTCTTGTTTAATTAAGCAAAGAGGTTTTGACCCTGATGAGTGATGACCATCCATCCCATCCGTGAGATGTACGGAGTTTTCGAAGTGACCCATAGCCCATTCAAGACCGGTAAAGGTGAGTTATACGAGTGTACGACATGTGACCGTGTGGCTGGACAGCGCCGTGCTGTCACGCTACACACTGTCCTTGCTTGAACAAGAAAAACACTTTTAAACACTCATCCAGCCATTGCTCTCGCTGGTGTTTATGAGGCGCCTAAAATTTTGTCATTCACGGCCTCAGGGGACCGGCTACGTACGCAATTCTGGACCAGCAATAGTGTGCTAGGACAGGAGCACTATAACTCTTGTTTTGGTCTCATCCAATCATCCGTGGATGGAAAATTCCAGCATCCTAGATGGCCTGTGCAGGTAATCTGGCAGTACGCCAATTGGGCGATGCGGATCTTGTGTCGCACAGGGCTACTTTACAGAAGTTTCACAGTCGCTGCAAATTTTGAGAAGCTTCGGCGCATCAGCAAAAGGACACCCACCACCAACCGGTAGTACTACTAGTAGGAGTAGCTAGGTAAAGCTGGAGGAGGTTGCATCCATGATCCATAGATCATCAAACGAGGCCACGAGGGGGGATGGGGTGGCCCCCGTTCCCCATCATTCCGGCCAGTTGCTGGCTGGCTCGCTCGAATGCTCGATGCCTCGATCCATCGATTGCTTCCCAACCAAACACCTTCCGATCGACCTTGCCCAAACCCCGGGGGGTGATCGTTCCTTCTTAATGAGCACTAATCACGATCAGTCACTGCAACATTAGCGAACTCATCTTTTCGTTTATGTGTATGCTTATTAATTAAAATTTGAATTTTCAACCTTAACGATTTTAGGGTTTCTTTTATTGTGGTTTATTTATCAGTATTTGCTTTTAGTTCGTTAAAAACATATATATAAAAGTTTTATTCACAAATTATTTTTCGTTTGTAAATATGCCGCTAAACGATGGGAGCAGTAGATTTGAAAGTATTCAACTTAAAAAGCTTATGACCGTTTTTTAATAGTCCTTTTACTAATGTTTATGTGGCTCCTTTATATGAAGATATCTTATATTTAGGTTTATGTTACATTTGAAAGTTTTTAAATAAAAAAACTCACGGCGCCGTCTTTTACAGTCTACTTTTTTAGAAGTTTTACGTGCCTTCTCTGTATATATGGAGATCTCTTGTTATTAACACTAGCAGTACGGCAATACGTAGTATTTATCAAAATGCTACAGGACTACTTGGGAAAGAGTAGAATGCCGGAAAGAACTGGACCAGCACGGCCGCAGTAGCAAGTTTTGATGATTTTATAACGGGGTAGGTGCGACGAGTGCCATATGGTCCATATCACCAGATGGCTCCCCTTTCAATACGCGCTCGATCGGCTCGCATGCGCTCGTTGCATGCATACGAGCAACTCGGCGACGTGGGCGCGTTTTTTCGTGGGTGGGGGGACGACGACGACGTGTGGAGTAGGGTGGACGAGGCGGCAGCTAGCGTCCGACGCGGGATGCATTTTTCATGGCGCCGCAAAAGGTGGTGGATAGTGTAGTGTCGTCGCCTTCGGAAGTTCGGATCCTCGCCGAGCGCGGCTTCCGAGTCAAAACTCGCCTTTTTCGCTTCCACCCTCGCCGTTTCTCTGACAGTGGATGCGTCCTGATCCGCAGATGGTATCCCCCTTCAAAGTTCAACCGTGCGCCCCCACACCATTCTGCTTTCTTCCTCTCCCGGATTTCAAAACTCAGCTTTCGAAGTCACTACCAGCAGCGTAAATGGAGCGTTTTGCCTAGAGAGAACATTAGGCATGGATGCATGGTCAATATAAGCTATAACGAGAAAAAGAGAGAAGACGTTGCTAACGAAACCACGTTATAAGGGCATCCACAATGTGAGACACTCCTAAAGTGTCCTCACTAACTGAGGACACTCGTAGAAAACTCAGCTCGCAATGGGAGGTATCCTTGGATGGGCTCCTCAAAATTTGAAGCAATCCGATGAGGGTACTACAGCCCATAATGGGTGTCTTGGCCCAAAGTAACCCCAGATGAAAAAATCCCCAAATACCCCTCCCCCAGTCCATTCTTCCTTTTTCCTTCTCTTTTCTTCCGCCCCCTCTTCTCGCGTCTTCTCGCTTCTTCTTCTCGCCCTCCTGGTCGCCCATTCGCCGCCCCCGCCTCCCAGCCTGCCGCCGCCACCTCCCTCCTCTCTCCCCTGCCGCTCGCCGCCGTCACTTCCCTCCTCGCCCTCCCCAGCCACCGCTGCCGCCTCCCTCCTCGCCCTCTCTAGCAGCCGCCTTCCTCCTCCCTCCGCCAGCCGCGTCCCGCCGTCGTCGCCGAAGTGGTTCCAGCGCCGGCGGTGGCCGGAGGAGGCGGATCCGGCGCCGAGGCGGGCAGATCTGGTGGGCGGGCGCGGCGGCGTCGAGGTGGCGGGCGCAGTTGTCGCCGGGTCATCGTCGTCCTCTCCGTCGCGGAAGCCGAGCCCGTCGCCAGCTGGTGGCCGCCGGCTGCCGCGGCGGTGGCCGGATCTGGTCGTCGCCGTTGTGGATCCTTATCGCCGTCGCCTCTCTCTTCTCTCTCTCTCTCTCTCTCTCTCTCTCGTTGTCATGCCGCCGGTGAGGGGCAAGAAGGGGAAACGCCAGGAGAGAAGGTAGAGGACGAGGCACCGAGTCGCTGCAACGCGTAGCCTCGAGGGAGTGTCTCTGGAAAAAGCAAGCTGGGGAGCTAGAGGGGCGCGTTCCCCGCGTGGGGATCGCGCCTCCCTCCAGAGACATGCCGCGCGGACGAACGGCGGACGGCGTGAGCGGGGGGACGACCCAGGGACACCGATTGTGGATGGCCTAACATTCTCCACACAATATAAGTCTTAGCCACGTGCTATTTTTTTTACCCCTCGGTTGGTTACATTTTTATGTATAAATCCTTAGATTGTTTCTATTCATATATAAGTCCAACATTTTATAGTTAGAATCTTATATAAGAACATAGGAAAAAAAATTGAATTACCCCCTAAACTATTGTGGTAGTACAAATTACCACCCATTCAATTTAAAAAACAGACATTCTTCACCCTCTACATTTTAATTGGATGAATTACCCCCTTGACAGACACTATAGCGGTTTTGTTCCTATGTGGCACACATGTGATAGTCTAATCAACATAAAAAAAAGGGGTAATGCCCACATGTGGTGATCTAGGGAAGAGGCAAAACCGGTAAGTGGGCCTCACCATTTTTATATATTTTTTAATGCTAACTGGATTACCACGTGTGTGCCACGTAGGAACAAAACCGCTCCGAAGTCGGGCATGGAGGTAATTCGTTCGGTATGAAAAGTTAAGGATGAAGAATATCTGGGTTTGAATTGAGGGGAGTAATTAGTACTGCCACTATAGTTCAGAAGGCGCAATTCAAATTTTTTTTCCAAAAACCTACCCTTACCCTTTTATCATCTCCGCCCTTCTACCTTTTCTGAGTGCCTCGCAACCTCTACCCTCTCTCCTTCTCGGCATTGTCGTCTATCCACTACCCCTTCTCCTTGGCGCCATTGCTAAGATCCCCTCCCTCCTCCTTGGCTCGAACTCCCCACCCCCTCTCCCGTGCCAGCGGTCTCGCCGGATTAGATTGGTCCTTCCTAATACGGTTCCAGTTGTGCTTCGCTGGCTGACGAACTTCTAGGCGGCGTGAATCGAGGCGAAGACAACCATATGGGGTTGGTGCGTCCTCGTGCTCTTCGACGGGGCCTTGGTGGCGGATCTATCGTGGATGTGGTCGAGGCAATAGAGTAGTCAACACCACTGCAAATCAATGATGATGAGTCTGGGTAGGCCCTTCCTCTCCCCAGCCACCCCCTCGCCATCTTTGTTGTTGTTGTCAGGTCCGACCTCGAGCTTGCCAAAGCTACATGGCGACAACGACCTTGACCTTGTTCGCGGGGGCAACAATGCGGGAGTTAGTTGGCAGCTACCCGACACGAGGCATTGGCATAGGGTGAGACCTCTCCCCAACGTGTTTCTCCACCCATTTCTTGCACAGAAACCACGCATACCTTAATTTGTTGGGGTTCACACACTCCTTCGGGGGTACGGGTCCCTCCTAGCTGGCATGAATATTTTCCTTGGGCGGGGGGTGGCGGGGAGTGAGACCAAGCTCCAGCTTGAAGCGTTAGCCATGGCCTCAGTACTACCTTTACCCCGAAATAACATTTATTTTTTCTCTATCTGACACATACCAACAATAAAAAAAAGACTAGAATAGCCACCACTTATATTCAATGTTAATGCAGTTGTCTCTTGTTTTATCTTGTTCTAATTAATATATTTGTCCTCTGCTTTCATAATTTTTTATATAGTGGTAGCTTAAAGATGAAATTATTTTAAGATAAATAAGATGAGGATAAAAATGATCTTATTTTAGGATTGAGGGATTACGCTGCAGCAAGAGCAGCATGGTGAGCACGATCCTCTGCCGTGGTTCGAGACGTTCGGCGCCGGACATTAGAACACGTACGTCTAGATCGTCCAATCCGCATCCAACGGACCGTATCATCACTTGGCACGTCAATTTAAGTGCCACTCCGACAAACTGTGCAAAAAATAACGTAGCTGCAGTGCTTCCGTACTGTTACATGTAGTCGGTTACTGTAGCTGCACGCTTGTCTGCGGTATATGAGTATGTAGTGCAGTGCAAGAGATCTCTGTATCCGCCAAGAGGATACTAGTACGTACCACTACAGCAGCATATATCACTGTAATGAATAAACTACTGTCATACAGATTACAGACTACTACCTCCTCTGTTCTGAAATAAAATTATCTTTATCCCTGCTATTTGTTCTATTATAAGCTTATTTGTAGTTACTATTGTATCAAAATTTGTGAAAGCAAAAGATGAATGCATTTGAGTAGGGGTGGAAACGGGCGGGTATTTCCTGCCCGCCCGCCCGGCCACATTATTTCAGGACAAATTCGGTTACCCGGGGCTTTTCATGGATCCGAATACGGGTCTTTTTTGCGGATATGAGATCGGGTTCGGGAACGTAGTATCCGACGTATACGGATTATCCGGTAAAAAAATCGGATATTACCCATATTATGTTTTTGTGAGGAAATTTTTGGTACTATGTATTGGTTCTATTACGATGTATTGTTTCCTATTTATTTCCTAAGGTACTAATGGACTAATATAACCGTATTATAGATAAATAGAATTGTTAAATGGTTATTGCCCATGTGATATATAAGATTGTTTCTTCGACTTGATATCCAAATAAAAATTTGTAACCAATAGTGTACATATCTATTTTGGTACGTATTCGCTATGTATTTTTGCCCGACATTATCCGAGTTTATATCCGTATTCGACACTATCCATGTCCGACCCGATTCTGATTATAAAATGTGGGTTAGGATATGAGAAGGGTGAGATCCGATCGAACCCGACCCGTTTTCACCCTTACATTTGAGTAGATAAAATAAATAAATAAATACATTTAGATTTGATAAAGTAAAGGTATTTTATATTTTTAATATTGTATTGGTATATAGGGATGGTGAAAAAATAAACCAAATTTATTTTATGACGGAAACAATACTACTACCCCCACTAGAGAAATTGACCGTTTGGTCACGTTCAACGCCACTAAATTAAGCCAACGAGGAATCAACGGCCCCTCTAGCGTACAGATGCTGCAACCGTTTTGTTTGTTTCTCCCCCATCGACCTATCCCTACACGGTTGCACATGCCGATACAACGGCCGCAGCAAAATGACCACGAGAAGTGACTCGCCTGACCGACCGAACCATCCGAAAGGTCCGAGCCGTAGCTGCCACGCCGCCGACCTACTCTGTCACACACACGCTTCCCGAACTCCACTGACCGTTGCCGCTAAAAAGGAAAAGGGAACAAACACTACAGTAGCAGTAAGAGCAGGTACAATAGTAGGCTATAAGCCAGCTAGCAACATATTTTAATAAGATAATAGAGAAGAGAGGAGAGCAGCGGGCTACAGATCTGTAGCCAGCTGCAGTACGGACTCTAAGATATAGTGTGTATGACAGGTGGAACCAGATATTAATAGTATAGTAAGCAACTATTGTATGAATTGGCTATTAGATTGACTATAGATGAATTGGAGCTAGTAATGGTCAATACTATTGAACTTGCTCTAAGGAGTAGAAGCCCACCAAAAAAACTCAAAATCCAACGGTCACTCGCCTCGCCTTTCACCTCTTTTAAGCCTTTACTCCTCGCGCTCGCCGCGCCATGCATATACCACCACCACCTCCCCCGTCCTCCTCTCCTCCACCGCAACCGCAACCACGGCCAGCCACGGGCCAAGCGAGTCACGACTGGCACAACGAGGCAAAAACACCATTGCTACCCCCGAGGCGTCCCTCTCAGCTAGCCCTGGCACCCGCACCACCTAGCGGCGGCGCCGTCGTGTTCGTGTCGGCCAAGTCGTCAAGAAGCTAGCTAGTCATTGCCAGTGGGCGCATTGTGCTAGGGGATGGCGAGAGGAGGAGGAGGAGGAGAGGAGGCGGCGGAGGAGGAGAGGGAGGTGAGCGAGGCGCTGACGGCGGACTCGTCGGCCGACGAGGAGTGCCGCCGCGGGAGCAGCAGCTCCAGCGCAAGCTCCGGGGACGCCTCCAGCGAGTCCTACTGCCCGCCCGACGAGTGGCAGAAGGTGGCCATCAAGACCTGCGTGTCGTCCGACCTCGTCGTCGTCTCGGCCGAGCCGGCCAAGGAGAAGAAGCCGCCGCCGCCGCCGTCGTCGCCGCGCGTCGACGCCGCCCCGGCGGACAAGCACCACCGGCCCTCAGGTACGTGCGCCGCCGCCGCAAATCCCCAGTTCACTCCTCCCTTCCAACACACGCGGTTAAATTAATTGAATTGGCTGCAGAGATGGAGATGATGAAGGAGAGGTTCGCGAAGCTGCTGCTCGGCGAGGACATGTCCGGCGGCGGCAAGGGCGTCTGCACCGCGCTCGCCATCTCCAACGCCATCACCAACCTCTGCGGTAAGTGGGAGGTTTCGAATTGCACATTGCGATTAATGCGGCGGTTTCATGGACACGGACATGGAGGCTGAGCTGAGTTGCGTTGCTGCAGCGACGATATTTGGGCAGCTGTGGAGGCTGGAGCCGCTGCTGCCGGAGAAAAAGACGATGTGGCGGCGCGAGATGGACTGGCTGCTCTGCGTCAGCGACCACATCGTCGAGCTAGTCCCCACATGGCAGACATTCCCCGACGGGAGTAAGCTTGAGGTATACTAGTACTTCACTTCCCCTGACGAAATTTACTCTGCACTTCTGCAGTAGTTAAGCTAGGAGTGATACAGGAATTACTAGGATCATCAGTGCGGGCCGTTCGTGAGCACTGAGTAGCAGATGCAAGATTTAATTTGGCGTCCTACGGATGAACCATGAAGCGAGTGCAAAATTCGATTTGAATTTTACATGAACATATGGACCACAAAAAGAAATTATATATAGTCATTAAATACGTGGTTAGCCGTTTGGTACTTAGTAATCCCGTTTATATTGAAACAGTTGGGCGCGCGACGCCGTATTTCTGAGGCCCAAAAGAGTTAAGGCCACATCAATGTGCTGTCCGTTTAGTTGTGTCCGATTTGTTTGTCCTCAAATTATCCGGTCCAAACGTGATCCATTACTACTCTAGATCAAATGGAGATCCATCATTTCCCACTTGCTGCATCTGTTTACACCAATCTTTCTTCTGTAGTGTCCAACTTTATTCGACAATGCAATGTTCAGGTCTTTTTTTGGCAAGGAAATGTTCAGTTTCTTTTTTTTATGAACTCTTACACAGACACATTATATAACTTGTGGTGAGAACAATGATAAACTGACTGTTACTCTACATGTGGATTACTACTTCAGATCATGACAAGCAGGCCACGGTCTGATCTCTACATCAATCTGCCCGCACTCCGAAAGCTAGACCACATGCTCCTCGTAAGTCTGACGAACTCTATCTCGGATCAACGATCTGTCCATCCATCCGAAAATAAAAGATGAACTAGTGCTGTAATAATGTGCATCTCCTGACGAAACGAGCACATCTTCTGCCAGGAAATTCTGGAGAGCTTCAGGGACCCGGAATTCTGGTACGTCGACCAGGGGATTTGCCCGCCGGACCGCGACGGCAGCGCCCCCTTCATGCTAACGTTCCACCGCCGCGACGAGAAGTGGTGGCTGCCCGTGCCCCGCGTCCCTCCCGGCGGCGTCGGCGAGACCACGAGGAGGCAGCTCGAGCACAAGCGCGACTGCGCCAGCCAGATCCTCAAGGCCGCCATGGCCATCAACAGCAACGCCCTCGCCGAAATGGACGTCCCCGACTCTTACCTCGACTCGTTACCCAAGGTCCAAATCAATTCTACTACCTGTAGAGAATAGGAGACGGATTCTAATCAACCGCAACTAAATGGTTATGAATTTTTTTTAAAAAAATAACAAGATAGATTAATATGTAATATATTACTCCACAAACATACAATTTCGAATTTAACTTTTACAAGTTATAAAAAATAACAAATTTAATTGCAAATATACGTATACTAATTTAAGTTTTATTTGTTGTTTTTGTTACAATTTTTAGAAGTTGAAATTTAACTTACATGTTTGTGGAGTGATATATTACATATTGTTCTATCTTTTTAATTATTTTTAAAAAAGTTTTATAATTATTTAGATGACATGCATTCACTTGGGTGATTAAAAGAGTTTTCCGTAGAGAATACTGTAAAAATTATCAGAAAAAAGAAAACTACACTAATGCTCATCATACATGAACGTTTGCTGTTTCTTGATTCTGACATTGATGTTTGATTGTCAGAACGGGCGTGCGACGCTGGGCGACATCATATACAGGTACATCACGTCGGACCAGTTCTCGCCGGACTGCCTGCTCGACTGCCTCGACCTGTCGTCGGAGTACCAGGCGCTGGAGATCGCCAACCGCGTCGAGGCCTCCATCTACGTGTGGCGCCGGAGGGGCACGTCGGGCGCCGCGAGCCGCGCCGGAAACAAGTCGTCATGGGGCATCGTCAAGGACATGATCATGGACACGGAGAAGAGAGACGACCTCCTCGCCGACCGCGCCGAGGGCCTCCTCATGTGCCTCAAGCAGAGGTTCCCCGGACTGACGCAGACCAGCCTGGACACGAGCAAGATTCAGTACAACAAGGTTGGTGAATCCATCATTTGCAGTTTGCAAATCTCGCTATCCGTGTTGATGGTGATCGGGTTTGGATGAACTGATCGTGAGATGACTCTCTCTTCAGGATGTGGGGAAATCGATTCTGGAGAGCTACTCGAGGGTTCTGGAGAGCCTGGCGTCGAACATCATCGCGCGGATCGACGACCTGCTGTACGTCGACGAGCGGAGCAGGCAGGCGGAGCTGCTTCCAACCGCGGGCGCCGGGAGCGGCAAGATCTCTTGCATGCCGGCCATGTCGGCGTCGTCGGTGCCGGCGTACCCGGTGGTGTCCACCTCGGGCACCCCGCCGCCGTACGCGACGGCGTACGCCACGCCGAGCTTCTCGCCGGCGCAGCTGTCGAGCCCATCCAACATCGGGAGGGCACTGCTGGTCGACCGGCGGTCGCACGACGGCCGAGCGTTCGACGGCAGCATGGAGTTCATGGGGATGGCGGTCAGCAACGCCGTGTTCGACCTACCGGGCCTGTGAATCGATCGATCACGGGCCCCGTGTCTAGTGCTTTACTTACCCTCGCCTGTGTGCAGTAGTTGTAATGTTGTATGGCGTGATTTCTTCTCGGGAGGGCGGCCTGTTTTTGCCGTTTCGCCGTTTCGCCGCCCTCCAGTTTTATGATGTGTTTTGACAGTGCCTTTGTTAACTTGCTAGTGTTGTAAGAGTGCTTAAGTTCGATGTTGGTCGGATGGCAAAAGAGAACCATCGCGTTTGTGCAAACCACAGAGTTTTCTTGGCTGTTTTTGAGCAGGTTCCGATAACCAGAACGTAACAACTTTTATAATTTTACCGTTAACCGGCAACCGTACAGACAAAATTGAAATTTAAATTGAGTTCAAATTCCTAGTCTTTCTAAAAGGATGGTTTCCTCGGAACGTACGTCCAAACTCCAAAAGGCCTCGGCTGACGGCCTGCGCTGCATCCCACACTCCAGGGCTTGGAATAAGTTCACTTTGGGTCCCTCTATTTGTCGCCCAGTCCGATTTTCATCCCTTGACCGTAAAACCAGGTACGACCCGTCCCCCAACTTACGAAAACCGGGCAAACGAGGTCCCTCGACAGTTTTAATAGCGGTTATGGCTGACGTGGCGCCTACGTGGCTAATTTGACCCGGTCTTCATCTGACATGGCACTGACGTGACGCTTACGTGACAATTCGATTCAGAAAAATAATAAAACCCGTGGGACCCACATGTCATCTTCACACACAAAATAATAAAAAATGGTGGGACCCACGTGGGCCCCACATGTCATACTCACCCCCTCATCTTCTTCCTCCCTCTCCATCTGTCTCCCCTCCTCTCTCCGGCCTCCAGGCGCCATGGCCCACGAGGTCACGGGGAGGTTATCGGCGTTGTTGTTGGGATGGAAGGGCGCGAGGGTGGGGAGCTCGGGTCGGCGTACAAGGCCGCCATGCGCAACAGCGTCACCATCACCGTGAAGCGGATGCGCGACATGAACCGCGTCAAGTTCGAGGAGCACATCCAGATGCTCGGCGACCTCCGCCACCCCAACGTCCTCTCCCCCGTCGGCTACCATTACCGCAGGGAAGAAAAGCTCATCGTCTCCGAGTTCATGCCACGTGGCAGCCTCCTCTACGTCCTCCACGGTAATAATAATCACAGCAAATACTAGTAGTTCTTAATCAACTACTAATCTCGATTATAGTTTGCTAATTACGATGTGTTTGTTTGTTGGTTCAGGTGACCAGCGCCCGGACAGGGTGGTGCTGGATTGGCCGGCGAGGATGAGGATCGCCGTCGGCGTGGTGCGAGGCATGGCATACCTCCACGAGAAGCTGGGGATCCCGGCGATGAGGCTGGTGAGCATGGACGGCGCCGACTTCGACGCCATCCACTCCTGCCGCCGTGGACGTCTCACACCACTCGCCGTCTGAGGTCTGCACCGCCTCCACATCGAGCTGCCAACCGACGAGCTCGGCATCGAGGACGGCGTGCTCCTCAAGTGGAAGGCTGACTTCGGCGTACAAGGCCGCCATGCGCAACTTCCATCCCAACAGCAACGCCAATCGGGGGGAGTAGGTGGAGCTCGTCGGGGCGGGCGGCTGTCGCGTCGCCGGCCGCCACCGCCGGACCTCCCCGTGTCCCCGTGGGCCATGGCACCTGGAGGCTGGAGAGAGGAGGGGAGAGAGATGGAGAGAGGGGATATGGAGAGGGAGGAGGAAGAAGATGAGGGGTGAGTATGACATGTGGGGCCCATGTGGGTCCCACCATTTTTTTACTCCCTCTGTTCTAAGAAAAAATACAAACCCTGGTTTCCGTGTCCAACGTTTGATCGTCCGTCTTATTTGAAAAAATTATGAAAAAAATTAAAAAGACAAGTCACGTATAAAATATTAATCATGTTTTATCATCTAACAACAATAAAAATACAAATTATAAAAAAATTTCATATAAGACGGACAGTTAAAGTTGGACACGGAAACCCAGAGTTTGCATTTTTTTTGGACGGAGGGAGTATTATTTTGTGTGTGAAAGTGACATGTGGGTCCCACGGACTTTATTATTTTTCCGGATCGAATTGCCACGTAAGCGGCACGTCAGTGCCATGTCAGATGAAGACCGGGTCAAATTAGACACGTAGGTGCCATGTCAGCCAAAACCACCGAGGGACCTTTTTTGTCCGGTTTTCGTATGTTGGGGGACGGGTTGTACCCGGTTTTGTGGTCAAGGGACGAAAATCGGACTGGGCGATAAATAGAGGGACCCTAAGTGAACTTAGTTCCCCAGTGCTTTCATGATGCCCAGTGGGCTTGGGATAACCAAATTGGCCGACGGGCCAGTGCTTTTGTGATGCCCGCGAAAGAAAAGGTCCACTTTTACTCCCTTAAATTTAGGTCCAATCTAAGGAAAAAGTACACCGAAGATCCCTCAATTTGTCGTTGAGATACAAAATCGTCCCCCAACCACACAAAATCAGATACCGGGCATCCCTCAACTAACAAAACCGTTACTTTAGATCTTTCGATGGTTTTGACCCCGTTTTATCCGACGTGACGGCTGAGTCAGCATGGGACCTGCGTGGGCCCCACATGTCAGCGGGGCCACGTTGGCCTCCTCTGTCTTTTCCCCTCTTCTCTCCCTCCCTCATCTCTCTCTCACTTCTCTGCTCTGCGTTCTGCAATGCGGGAGAGGAGGCGGCGGCGACGATGGCGTCGCACGAGGCGGATGGGTGCGCGGAGGAGGGAGGGGACGAGACCCACGAGGCGGCGACGGGGGAGGGCTACGCGCGGGCGGCGGGGCAGCCGCTGCTGGTGCCGCTCAAGTGCGGGTGCCCCTCCCGCTCGCCCAATGCATACTCGCCTATGCAGTACCAGATCAACGCCGGCGACACCTTTTGGATCGTCTCCACCACCAAGCTGCAGAACTTGAAGCAGTACCAGGCCGTCGAGCGGGTGAACCCCACGCTGGTACCCACCAACCTCGGCATTGGCCAGATCGACATGTTCCCCGCCGCTTGTTCCCCTCCGTTCCCCGCTGCGTGTTCCCCTCCGTTTGTCGCCGCAGCCTGGTCGCCTCCCTCCGAACGCTGCCGCTGCCTGGTCGCGGGAGGGCGTCGGCAGCAACACCAGACCTACCCAATAAATTATTTTTGATTTTCACCATCAATTCACTAGCAATGGCCAAGCTAGCCCGAGCAAAACAAAAAAAAAAAAGTCATGTACAGACATACAGACCAGATCCTTCCTTGGAACTGGATGACGTCGTGACGATGAGGAGAGAGATCACGACGGCGGCGACGCGGGTGCCACGAACTAGAGTGCCTGCGTGAGCGCCTCCATGGCGCCTTCGCCTTGCTCGGCAGTGGCGGCCGCGAGCGCGCGGTAGGTGGCGGGGGCGCGGTGAGGCGCACGTGGCGGAGCGCGCGTGTGCGGGCACGGTAGGCATCGGGGGCACGGCGAGGCGCACGCGGCGGAGAGCGCGTGTGCGGCACGCGCGCGCGGGAGGCGAGGCTAGGATGGCACGGTTCCACCGCGATCGCCCTCACGCCCAGCTCCTCCCCCGCCGCCGCCGCCCAGTTCTTTCCCGTCGGGCGCCGGCCGCGCCCAGCCTCTCCGTCCCGCGCACGTCCGTCGCCCGTGGAAAGAGGATTGGAAAGGGCAGTAGAGAGGGGAAGGAATAAGATGCTGACATGTGGGATCCACATGGGCCCCACGCTAACTCAGCTGTCACGTAGGATAAAACCGGGTCTAAATCACCGAAGGACCTATTGAGACCGGTTTTAATTAATTAAGGGACGCCAGATATTTGGTTTTGTGGTTGGGGGACGATTTTGTAACTCGATGATAAGTTGAGGGACCTTCGGTGTACGTTTTCACCAATCTAATTCATATAACTCAACCCAAATACAGGATATTTAGACCCTCGAACTACTAAAACAGTGTAATTTGATTTCCAAAGAGTATTTGCTGACGTGGCTCGTTGACCTGTTCGAAACGGCTAATGTGTGGGGCCCACATGGTTAGTGTCGCCTTCTCTTTCTCTCTCCTTTTCTCTTCCTTTCTCTCATCTCCTTTCCCCACAGTTGCACGTGGCGAATGCCTCGAGCGACACGATGCCCCCAAGGGAAGGGTGGGGGGCTCAAGTGTCAGTGCTTCGGTGGCCAAAAAGACGGCGATGGCGGTGTTAGGATGTGTACCACGATATGACTCGTCCAATTAAAGGTCCCAGCGCTTGACATATTGGATGATGACGACGGTGGAGAGAGGAAGATGGCCAAGCGAGATTCAATGCCGAACATGCCCAAGTTAGTGCGTCAAAACGCGTTCTCAGAGGAGGGGAACTCGTTTCTCTTGAACTTGTTGATGGAGGTAGACTAGGAGTGGCTGACAGCATCAAGCATGGCAGCGAGCAGAAGAATGGCCACGACGGCCAATCATGGCGGCACAGAGAAAGTGCAAGATAGGGAAAAACCTTATAAATCTTGATGCCCTCGCTGTTGCCTGCCAACCCCACCCCACCCCACCCCTCCCCTCCCGCGCGCGCCTCGATGGGGAAAGCCTTCTGGAGCTCGAGCTGTAGGTCTATCAAGTTATTGTCGTGGTCGTTAGCTAATGGTTTGATGCATGGTTTCGGTCACATTGTTGTGTGCAGTTACGGCCCACTAGCGAGGAAGGGACCCCTATTTTCTTACACAATGAGGCATGCACACACGTGGATTTAGAGGAAAAATCATGATTAGTTTTATTTTTACTTCCGTTAATCATTAACTAACCTTTCCTTTTCTCAAGGAGTTTTTTTCCCTTTTTTACTAGAAATTTAAAAATCTATACGTGAGGTTTGAACCTTTCAACTAAAATTTTGAAAACTTTCAACTTAAATTTGGAAACATTCAACCTAAATTTTTGAAAACTTTCAACTCAAATTTGAAATCTTACAACTCAAATTTTGAAAGCTTTAACTCGAATTTTGGAAGCTTCAAACACGAAATTTAAACTTTCAAGTCAAATTTTTGAAAACATTTGACTCAGATTTGAAGATTTTCAAGTAAAGATTTGAAAATATTCAAATCAAATTTCAAAACATTCAGCCGAAATTTCAATATTTGCGAATTGCAACCCAATTTCAAAACTTCAACTCAAAAGTTTGAACTTCCAAATCAAATTTTAGAAAAACAAAAAAAAAGCGTCGATGCTTTGCGTGGCGAATTTTTTGGCGCGACGTGAAATAGGTCACGTGGCAACATTTTTTGTCGCGAAGCGTAGGGAAAGGGGAAAACGCCGCTACCCTAGCTCGGTCAACGTGCGAATGACTTGATTGGTTGGCGCACACGCATGCCATATAGGAGCCCCCAGCCGTTGAACCACTCCTCACGACAATGATGGCCTTGGCGAATGATCGCCCCAATGCATCCATGCCATGGGCAAGATCGATGACCCACTCAAGCTCGGTGAGGAGTTCCTGGAAGTAGGCTCACATGGTAGCAGCAAAGATTTGTCCGTCACAGGAGACCTTGGGGGGTGCAGTAGGCTGCGTCACCGTTGCTCCGCCTCGAGGCTGCTATGTCAGCTGCGGAAGCGGCTCCGTCGACCGCTGTTCGAGCCTGTCACCGTGTGGCATTGTGGTGAAATGAGAGGGGAGCAAGGAAGAGAAAAGATGGGAGAAGAAAAATGTGGTGTTGGCATATGGTTCTCATAATGATTCAGCTGGTCGAACCAAGTGAACAAGCCATGTAACAAATACAACTATGAATAATGCCTTGGAAGTCAAATTAGATCGCTTTTAATAATTGGAGGGGGTAAGATACCTAGTATTGTGATTGAGGGATACAAATTATATTAAACCTATATTTAAGGAAATGAAGTGGACTACTATGAATAATGCCTTGGAAGTCAAATTAGATCGCTTTTAATAATTGGAGGAGGGGGGAAGATACCTGGTATTGTGATTGAGGGATACAAATTATATTAAACCTATATTTAAGGAAATAAAGTGGACTTATTCTGCTCGTAAATTACTGTGGTTGAGAGATACAAATTAGATTAAACCTATATTTGAGGGAAACGAAGTGGACGACTTATTCCACCCGTAAATTACAGCGGCACGAAGGTCACTTGTTCTCCTACAACTCCACTAAGTGTGAAACGCATGTACAGTCAACAGCTTTAGGAGTCATTGGGGGCAACAAGGGTAAATGGTGCGCACAATTAGGCCTGGTTTAGTTCCCTAAAAACATCACATCGAATCTTTGGACACATACATGGAGCATTAAATATAGATTTAAAAAAACAATATAGATAAAAAAAACTAATTGTACAGTTGGAGGGAAATCGCGAGACGAATCTTTTGAGCCTAATTAGTCTATGATTAGCCGTAAGTACTACAGTAACTCATATGTGCTAATGACAACTTAATTAGGCTCAAAAGATTTGTCTTGCGGTTTCCAGACGAGTTACGCAATTAGTTTTTTCATCCGTGTCCGAAAACTTCTTCCGATATCCAGTCAAACATCCGATGTGACACCCTAAAATTTTCTTTTCGCGAATTAAACAGACCCTTAGTAATGTTGCAAGTAGCAACCTTTTCTTTTATTGAAGGCTACCTGTTGCTGCCCTACCATCTCATCACATTTCATCAGGTGAAAACAGCAAAACAAAGGGCTACCTGTTGCTGCCCTACCATTTCATTATACTTCATCAGGTAAAAACAGCAAAACAAAGGGCAAGAGGAAAAAAAAAGGAAAACAACACACACATGCACAGTAACACACACAACCACATCTGCTCAGGTGAAATGACGCATCCAAATACTGCCTCCACCGGTAGAACAGATGTATAGTTCCACTATGACTTGCAAACCGGCTTGGACCACTCCTTTTATTTCTGGTACAAAACAATCGAATAAGATGCACAGAAATTGCTATCGCAATGATGAAAGCATTGTATGGATTTTTATATAGAACAGTCTGATTACAAAACCTTAAAAACTTAATAGGATAATCTGAAAAGCTTAAGTTCCTACTGCAAGTCACTGGGAATTGGCTGCATACATCCTCATCCTGTTTGGATGTAGAGGCTCTGTTTTAATCCATTTTCTAAAAGAAAAAGTCACTAAGCTCCTATCAAATGTTTTCGTCATATGCCAACAAAAGGAGAAATGACACCAAATATGCATGGATTGCTTAACAATAATAAGTTTATAAGGGAAAACCTGACAAACTATGGTTGTGAGTCATTGTGGCCTACAAATTAAAATGCCTTGGGGAGTAACTAAACTGTAAAATGTTAAACAGGTTTCTTGGGTTAAGAAACGCGTAAAATGAACATCTTCATCAGATGTTCATATCATTCTAAACATGAGGCGAAATTGCTCTAAGCATCACCCATGTCAGATGTATGTACTTTTTAGAAACTACTAACAAGATAAACTTTTACTTCAAGACATTTGACCAATTTTGCAGTAGAGCCATCATTGTCAACCTCCACTACTATCCAATGATTGTGCGCAGATATGACAAGTAAAATTATTGGCACCAGAACTATGAGGACGGCACTAATGTAAACAAGGATATTTTCCTAAGTTCTTAATGTCTGCATTAGGAACGAAAACAGATTATATCATTGAGCCTATGACAAGGCAGTACCACAAAGAGCAAATTAGATTATCCTTAGTTCAGCTGCTTCAGAAGTTCCACATCTCTAATGATAATCCTCTTACACAGCACATAGTTCATGGTCCTTTAATAATAAGACCAAGCAAGCTCTTTATTGTAAATATTCAAAACAAATAAAGAGTATCTACTATTAGTTGACTCTACCAGAGAAATAAATGTCTTAGTTGCGTCTGAGTCTATGACAGATAGGTCATATAACACAAACAATCGAATACTATCTGATGCTGCCGCCAGCCTATCATGCTCAAACTAAAGATAGATAATGCTTACAGAGACTTTTTAAAATAAAGTTGCTGCTATAGTATACCTTGTTTGACAAAAGGAGAGCCCTCTGCAAAGTACTTAGTAATAGAGTGAACCTGCCAGTAGATTATAGTCAGTACACAACTTCACATGTATTTCGTCATGTATAAATTATAAACAATATCCAAATAATACATACCTTGCCACCAATCACCTCTGGTAGCCAGGGAGCCATCTGGATTCTGCTCCTGCTCCTTTTGCTGGATTGGACATACAAAGAGAACATAAAAGTGTCAGTGATACAAGCAACCAGAAGCTGATAATTAAGAGTGTCAATTTCTACGCACATTTCCTGGTGATGCATCACCCTGCTTTGGTGGAGTGTTGCCATAAAACTCCCGAGCACCGTAATGCACAGAAGAGCCAAAATATGGCGACTCCGATGACTCGTTTGGATATGATTGTTTACCATCCTTGTATGCACCACGAGCTTTAGTAGGGCTGTGCGATTTGCCATCTGCATGACGAAAGATTGCAGTTAAGCGGCTGCTGTATCACATAGAAATGGAGAATCTCCTCTCCAAATCAAGATGATGCATTAAACATGGTTGAAAAATTTATAAGAGGTAGCAAAATTACTACAAAGATCAATGTGCTTTGATGTTGGATCAAATGCAACAGCGTGTGTGCGACTGTGCGTGCATGATCGTTGACGTTAGACATAACCTGAAATCCTAAATCCATTTCTCAGGACAACTAATGACATGAAAGATGATTATCCTACTCTGTTCACAAGTTTAGCCGCAATTAAATACTAGTGTCAAATAAAAAGGATATCACACAAACTACCTGCAAAGCCACCGCCATTCTGCCCTTTGGAGTTCTGCTTGTTCAGCATCGCGTACAGGTCCGCCTGCTTCGCGTCTTTCGTATTTGCCTTTCATGTAAAAACAAGGGCAGCAACATCAGAGGGATACCCAAATAAGATTTCCTAGAAACCAAGAACTCATCCAACACAAATGAACCCGCCCGAAACAATTCCCGAATTCCCGAATTCAGAACAACAAAAAATCCACCAAAGGAGGAGCCAACCTCTCGCGCGACAATCGCATAACAGAAACAGAGAACAATCCTTAAAAATCTCACGAATCGAACCAACTACGAGTCTACGAGGGCGCGAGAGGAGAGAGACGCGGTATACCGTGGGCGACGCGGAGAAGACGGTGCTGAAGTACCCGTTCGCCGCCGCCGGCGCGGCCCCGGCGGCGGTGGAGGGCGGCGATTTCTTCCTGGAGTCCATACACGTCGGTGGTTTGGGTTTCTTGGCGCTCGAGGAGAGGAGAGGAGAGGAGAGATGAACCTAGACTTCCGTGGAAGGAGAAGAAGAAGAGGAGGACGAGCTCGTGAGCGAGGAGGCGGAGAAAGATAGGGCACGTGAAGTGGTCGTTATAGGCGGCGGCGCGGCTCGGGGTCGGAGGTGGGAAGCGACACTTCTCTGCTCGCCTCGTGGCGCCCTGCTCCGGCCTCCATCTGTGCCCGCGGCCCCCTCCTTATAAAGGGCTCGAGTCGAGGAGGGGCGGGCGAACCCCCTGTTCTGAATTCTGATGTTTGTATTCCGTAGATCTGCAGGGGCTGAATTGCCAAAGTGCGATCGATATCCGAACTTCTGGCCGCCGTGAGTACAAAACCGGCGATGTAGTATTTTTTTGGCAAACTTTTTCTACAGTACAAAGCTTTCAATATAAATTTGATCGCACCTGGCACATTGCGAAACGAAAAAAATAGGGCGATGTTTCATTCCTTATGAAAGAATGTTGCAGCACTTAGAAAAAATATTTCAGATCTTTAAAAAAGTGAAACACAATTGGATCATCAGATAAAACAAATTATTTAATGCCATTGAAACATCAACAAGATCCGAGTGAAATCGAAGATAAAAAATGAAATACCATAAAAACCCAGTGAAACATACATATACATAGGCCAAAACATTAAAACATACCACCCCCGGGGTAAATGGCACCACGATCTGGCTAATAACCGGTAGTTAGCCAGATCATCAGTGGCATATATCGGAGACATGGCTGACGATGGCATGTAGCTGCTGGAGATAGTGATGGGACCGACGATGACCTACAAACCATCACCATCCACTCCTACAGTCTCTCATGACAATGGAGACATCGTCGTTGTCTCTGTTGTCACACAAACTTAGCCAAGTCTACGCCACCACCGCTTCAACTGCCTACCATTGTTGCCCCTATCCGCCACCGTCGTTGGCCTGCTGCTGTCTTGCTGTGGGCTTCTGCCTTTTACTACCTTATCGCTGCCTCTGTTTTCTCACAGATAAGAGAAGATAGAAGATAGAGGAAAGAAATGGTGGTCAGAGAGAGAAAGGAGGGGAGTGAATAAGACCAAGAATAAAATGAGAGAAAGGAGGGTTGTTGAGCGCAAGGCGCACAATATTTTTCTTCCTATCGGTGTCCGAACCAAAGCATTTTCGGATAAATTGACAATAAATTTTGCTTTAGAGGTCGTAAACTTCTGAAGGAGAAAAGAGGACGCCACTACAAATTGAATGTACGATCTTTTTTAAAAATTGATTAATGTTTCATCACACGTAGAGAAATATTTCATAGTTAGCCCAAAAATATTTCACACACATGCAATATCTCCTAAAATTAGTTGAAATAATTTTCTACATGAAACAACAAAGATAAGTTGAAACATGAAAAAAATCACAAACATTTACACGCCCGTAAACATCAATACACATTGACTGAAGCATCAAAATTTCAATAAGATACCAATACACGCTGCTCTCTCCTCTTCGGTGGCCAAATTTTCGGCTCCTTTTTCTGAGCCGACCACTCAACAGTGACAAGAGTTGGCACCTCCCTCCCCCGTTAACGCAGAGAGGCACAATGCCATCTAGAACTCGTGCCATTGCGACTGAGGCAAGGCCACGGTGACACTAAGTGCATTGGCTGCTACAACCTGCTTGGTCCGCACCAACCCATCTTTGACAAGCTCCCACCCCAGCCACTAGCTGCAGTCCCTTCTTTGCGACCTCCGCGCATGGCACTAGGTACATCATGGAGTTCATGGGTATGAAGGTTAGAAACGGCATGTTCGACCTACCAGACTTGAGAATCGATCAATTACGATTCACTAACTACGAGGTTGCATTGCACGCAATCATGAAGTGGCCAATGACCTCCCTCACCTCCTACATCGAGGCGAAGGCAGCCACACAACGGTAATGATAGCAGTAGATAGCACTGTTGGTAGCACGGGATAGGGGAGAGAGAAGAGGGCCTACGTAGATTGGAGTACCTGATAAAATAAGGGGCGACATCAGGCGACCGAATGCAAGCATTTTTAGAGAACGTGGTTTAAATTTGCTAATTAATTTACTACACATGACAACGTTCGCCATGTCGTAACAACAGTACTCGATGCCACTTTGATATCTCAAATAATAATGTAGCATTCGATCTATATATTCATTTTAGATCAAACGGTATAAAATGCCAACCAATGCACACTATTGTGAACCCATAGAGGATCCCAATAGCTGAGAAGTCGTCATCAGTAGGTGTGCGTGGCGGATGGATGATAACAACTGAAGATGCTGGGTTTCCCTTCTTGTGTGGAGTGTAGTGCAAAAGGAGGAAAGGGGGGAAAAGTTTCTGAGAAAATTTGTTTTTCCGGAGAAACAAAGAACTTGCCGTTTCTATAAACCTCCAATCTCATCACTCCCTTTGTCCCTTATAGGAAGTCAAATAAATGCACATGCTTCTGTCCTTATTTCAGTTCTTTCAGTTTGATGACGTGCCATTTTTTCCCCCAAAATGATCGTAAGAATTATCGCGTTCCAGTTCTTTTCCCATGCTTGACAATCTCACATTTAAAACCGGTACCTATCTAGCTCTATAGTCCATGCTAGACCAAATTGACAAATTCCTTCCACGGTTTCATCAGCAGCATCGGCTGCTGCACACGTGAAAGGTAGACAAAGCACGTGTAGGCTGCATAGGATGATAGGAACATGGTACATGGATATCGGATAGCACGCTAGCATCCGTCACTTGGCTTCCTACACCCTATAATTAATCGTGTGCACTCTCCTACTACATGCACACAGACCAAAAGCAGAGGCTGGTTCAGCGAACAGATCAGCACGCAAGATGCTGCCAATTCCTTTCACCTACGACCACGAGCAAGTGGATGATCCATCAGGGGTAGGGTGCTGGTTATCCATCTGAGAACTTTTTGACTAACCGATCGAGCTCTTCTTCTACTGTGCTGGTCTCAACGTATCACTCATCGGCATCATCCCTCCAAATCCAAATCTTAACGATCCCGCTCGATCGGAGAGATCGGCATCGATGCGGGCGGCGAATCTTTGCCCCCGGTCTGAAAAGCTACTACTTCACAACAATAATTCAGTGAACAGGAAAGAAGGTTCTGAGCTCGGTTTCTAGATATTATCACGCAATTCACAACAAGTGGTGTGGGGTTCTCCCAGCTGTAGATATCTCGCTCATCTCACCCAGACATCCACGAGAGAGAGAGTGTGTGTGTGTGTGCTCACTCGTCACAGATGCGAGCAAGCACCAATAATTAGCTCATCCTTATCTCACAGAAATTTCTCATGCTTTTCTCCATCGGGCTGACCAGCATTGATAGGTAGCAGCAGGGGGCCAGAGGCCTTCCCTTTTTATCCTCTTGCCGTCCAAAAGCGGCTGCACGATGATGCACCGGATTAGCTTAGCATCCAGTCTTTACCTATCGCGCTCTCTCTCTCTCTCTCTCTCTCACTTGCTGCATGCGTTTGGTGGTGTGGTTCCCTGAACCAGTGAGAGACGTTCAGATTTGGGTTCAGGTTCGAAACCGGAAAAGCGTCGACGACCCCACCACCAAATCCGGAGCGGCGAGGAGGACGGAACTCGCCGTGGTTATCGCGATAGCCGACTAGCCGAAGCCGATACGATCATCCTACCGGGCGCGCGCGGGCGGGGATATGATACGCGTGACGCGCGGTCGGTCCCGGGGGATAATCTAGTTTATTGCGCGGCGCGCGGTGGTTTTTATCCTGATCTGCACGTATCTTCCGCTTCGACGCGTCGGAGGAGCGGAGGTCGTCGCCGCGCCGCCGACGGTTGGGGCTTGATGGGCCACCACCACCCCGGTTGACGACGCGTGCGAACGCGTCGCTTTCGCGAGCGAGCTAGCAAGCGCGCCATGGGGTGCTTGCTGGATAGATGAGGCAGTGTGGCGCGCCGAAAAGTTGGCAGTGTGCGTGCGCCGCTCACACGCGAGCGAGCGATCTCGCGGCTGGCCTCGTTGTCGCCGCGACGTGAGCGGCGTTTGTGTGTCCCTTGGCGCTGCGGAGGGACGCGGCTAAGCTCGTCGAAAAAAAGAGATGGTCCGTCATGGGTCAGCGTCACACGGCGTGGGGTGCATGGTTGCGTCGCTCGTCGCGATGGAGACTGTGTGGGAGGTAACGGGTTGATATTCGTACGTGTCGAAGATTTTAGGCTCGTTCGGAGAGGAGCTCTGAGCCATAGAGACTACTACCTACGGTACAGAGGATTATTTTTGTTCTGTGAGAGGAGATGAATGGAATCTGAGAAGTTTCTCATTACGGCATGGGGTGTGTTTACTTCACGCTAAAATTAGAAGTTTGGTTGAAATTGAAACGATATAACAGAGAAGTTGGAAGTTTGTATGTAGGCCCATCACGTCAAAACTTTCCTACACACACAAACTTCTAACTTTTCTGTCACATCGTTCCAATTTCAACCAAACTTCGGGTGTGTTTAGTTCCAAAGTTTTTTTTTCCAGACTTTCAACTTTCCATCACATCAAACCTTTCATACACACAACTTTTCAGTCACATCGTCTCCAATTTCAACCAAATTCTAAACTTTGGGCCAATCTAAACATAACCTTCGTTCCAATTTCAACCAAACTTCTAATTTTAGCATGAACTAAACACACCCGTAGAAGAGGGCAAAAATTATATGTGAGTGCTGAAGGTCGAAGACTGCGACAAATGTGTCGTGTGAACAGCATGAACAGGTAACCGTGAACGCCTCTTGGTTAGACGGTGGAATTGCGAACACTACTACAGATAAGTAGGCGTAGTTTAGTTTTGATGACTGTCACTACGTATAGATAAGTAGGCGTCAATTGGTACACAGTATAAAATACTATGAAGTTTATGAATTTAATTTTATTCTTCGTCAGTTTATGTATGTATTGTTGAGAATATAGACATATAATGATTTAATATATTTTATAAATAAATCATGATATTATAGATGTATACTAGCATTAATGTATCATTAGATCTACACATGTAAACTAAGCAGTAAAACATGAATAGATGAAATATACGCAACATGTCGAACACGTACCGAGGTGGCGGAAAGACCGGTTGCTCGGCAGGAACTACTCGCGGTTGCGAGCGTCGACGAAGGCGCGCAGCACGCGAGCGGAGAGGAAGGCGAGCCGTCGCGGATGAACAGGGAG